GAGCTCAAGCGCGGCGTGTGAGCTCTGGCAGGGTGGGTGGGCGTGAAATATCGCGGTTAAAACTCGACAAAGGCGTGTTCTGTTGGCAGTTTTCTGTTGGTGACGAAAGGTTGGCGGCTTGTTGGAAGTGAGAACGCTCTGTTCTGGAGTTGACAGGTGCACCGTGAGTGGTTGGCACCGCTTAAACTTCACGTCCGAGTGAACAGACGCGCGCTAACTCCGAATACTGGGATCGGTCTCTGACCAGTAAGGTGTGCGTCAAGAAATGGGGAGGGGTGGAGTGAGTAAGAGCAAAGCCCACGACGTGTGGGAGGGGGGTGTGGTTCAGTGGCCTCAGGCTCACCACGACCCCCATCGCCTTGACAAAAAGGCTTCGAGGCGATCCAATGATAGCCACGCATGAGCGTGTGCTCCACTGGTTTCAACGCTAATTTAGCGCGAACCAGACTGTCGGGTCGGCCCTAGCAGGGGCATCCATGACTACACGAGAGATGAGAACTGAGCGTATTGGCTCCGTGTCCGCCTCTCCCCTCACCTCTCTGCAGTAGTTGTTGCGTTCCTCTCCTCTCTTCTTTGCACCGGCTATCTTACGTGGGCATTATTCTCGTTTGCTCAATCAGAAAGCATGGTCTAGGGTCTCGGAGATGCATATGTCGCAGTTAATCAGCCCATTTCTTCCCTGTTCGTGAGCGAGCCCCAAGGGGGAAGGGGGCGTATGCGCCGGGCTGGGCTGTAGGGGTGTGCTGTCGACCGTTTCTTCAGACTCTGTATCGAGTCCCCCCCCCTCACTCCGTCTTCGCGTCCAGCTTATTATACCCCTTATACAGGTGATTCGCGTGAGACAAGACTCTGTGCGGCAACCTAGATTGTCCGGCGGGCCTCTCGCCGGCGCGGAATGGATCTCAGATCGTGACGGGCAGCGGTACCTTATGGGCCCTTCAGATCGGACGGCTCCTGCCTGTACCCATTCACTCGTACTCTACATGTCCCTCCTCCCCTCAGTGTGGACAACGCTAGTCCTGTTCCTGGGGAACCAGGTAGAATGCACTTCGCGGTCCAAGACGAGCAGCCTATTACGGCCTGTGCCGCCTGGCATACCTGCTTGTCTTGATCGACGGCAGTTTGTTCTCATGACGGGTTTTCATAGGTGAGGTATGGGGATGACATGGCGACTCGTTGTCATGGGAGGAGGCGAACCGATACGGATGCACTGTCCGACCAGTGTGTGTGGGTGTGTGGGTGTGTGTGAGGTGTGTATTCCGTCTGGATGCGGCAGCGAAAAAAAAAATGCACGGGCAAGGGAACAGTCCCCTTGCCTTGGCTTCTTGTCTTTTTGCCTCAAAGGTGGTTATGGCCTGACATGAGTGCGTTTGGTCTTCGAGCTGAGAAAAACTGGGTTGTCGAGGAGGAAGGCAACTTTGACGACAGCTACTTAGTTCTCGGGTGAATGGTTAAGGAATTCCAGTGTGTAGAGTCCAGTCCGCTTCGATTTCCACATTGACCGAACACTTCCCGGTCACGCCCACCGGCAAGATGTGTCGACCCTCCTACAAACTGCGGATTCGTTCGACTGCTCCTTGTCCGAAGACTGACAGGAGCATCACCCACACACATCAGCGCTCCGCGCAGACCCCACCGCCCCTGCCCCTCCAAGATTTACACTTGTTTCTGGGCACTGGCTGTTCTGTTCCGCGATGCTTGGCGCAAGGCCAGGGCCCAAGGTTCGCTGGGGCAATGCAGACATTGCTAAACCTGCACTTTGGCTATCACGAATGCTTAGGCCCACTGAAAGGACAGCAATCGGATCAAACGGACACCTACGAGCAGATGGGCGAGGGTCGGCAGTCATAGTTGACGTAGCCCGGGAAGTGGTGTTTCATGACTAAGGTCAAGCCAAGATGCCACTCAGGTAGAAGTCTCGTCGAGAAAGCACGTTTTCGCAGAACCGAAGCCGCAGATTACACGTTCACCTAGGTCGCAAATGTGCCTGAAGGTCGAACAGAGTACGCAACTCACCAAAACCGCGGGCTGGAGAGAGATGACGGAGCACTTTCCTGCCAGGACGGGAAAATGAGGACAGGTAACACGCAAGCGGGCCCGGTTTGTCGAGTTCATCATCCATGGCACCGACGGGAGACCACTCTCTGGCCTCTGAGGAATGGGCAAGGCAGTGAAGGTATGAGGCGAGGTACGTACCGCAAGATGAGCCTGTCCCACTTGGGTTCTAACCCCGGTTCGCCGACCCGTTGCGGCCGTCTCCAGGGCCAATCACCAAGATTCCATGCAATGACACTCGGTCGTTTCCCTCTCCTTGTGGTGGACCCCGACCTCCACGCTCTCTTGTTTCTCTTCTACCCTTTTCCCACCCCCAATTATGGCCCTGAACCTGAACTTGAACCGTTGCTATCTTCGACAAGGGCGCTGTTGTTCGCACCACCAATCGCTGCCGCCTCGGTCTCTGTGACTCTGTGCCTCATCCCCCATCTACCTTATTCCCATGGTCATTTCCATCTCCAGCTCTAAGACTGACACTCGCCAGACCGCGGGCTGTGGTTGGGTTCGACGTCTTTACATGTACATCTTACGCATGCGCGGCCGCGTACACGCACTCACACGTCCCAACTGGCACTATGCTACCATTCATAACCCACACATTACTTCCTAGCCCCCCGAATATTACTTGCCTCATGTATCCCCAAAGTTTTCAAGTCAAATCGTTCTAGAGGGCCTGGTTTCTGGTCAGTCTCCAAGCTTGAGTCTAATTCCTCTTTTCTCGCCCTCGGCCCTCTCCACCAAGGGAATCCGTGCGAGTGCCATCTCGGGACAACCCCGTTAAAGGTGATCCATGCTGATCTTGGCATCATTGGGTCCGTTACGTGCGTAAATACGTCCGTAAAGTACAAAGTCATGTGGAGTTGATAGGCCCCCCGTACCTCACTATGTCCATCTGCCCTGTTGCAGCCACCCGCTTTGAGACTGTATCTACTGCAGCACACCACCCTCTTCGGATACAGACACTCAAACAGTATTGCTTTTGACGACACGATCCCCCATACTCCAGTCCTTCCCCTTGGGTCTTGGGTCCCAATACCTGCTTGAGATCCTTGGCCGGTGGAGTCATCCCCAAATACACAGGCACACGCCTATCGACTGGGAGGGAAAGGCATTGCCCCCAGCTAAGCCTTTGCCTGTTTTCCTGTCGTCTCTTTTCCTTGGGCGCATCTACCAGCTCTTCGGGTTCCTCATGTTTGTGGTTCGGGTGACCACAAGCCAACCCAGTCTTTCTCCGAGATCACGGTCTTCCCTCTTCATGTCCTCATCCACTAAGCTTCCCTGTATACAGTACTGGCGACACGGAGAAGGCAGAGAGCATGTAGATCGCAGAGTCCGTGTGTGAATTCCCTCCGAGTGATGCCCGCCTCCAATTTCAACCCTTGCCTTATATGGCCCTATCCAAGTCAGCGTACCGTACGACACAAGCCCCAGATATCTACGCCGCACTCGCGCCGAGGCTCTACGCGCAGCTCCTCCCCTCTTCGTCTCTCTTTCTGTCTCTGCCTACGAATCAGAGCCAAGTCTCGACCAGCGTCTCCATCATCACTGGTTGCTTAATGGCCCTAGACCCTGTCTGCCTGCTCGACCGCAACGTTCCCACAGGTGCGAGCGAGGCCGTATATCTTGCGTCTGGGCTTCATGAAACATAGCCGATGAAAGGCGATGAAATGATTGTTACCGTGAAGCAGCAACTCGCGAACCAAGTGGAGGAGCAGAGAAGTGCTCCCGTCATGGATGAATCAGACCGGTATAAGCCAGCCGTAGTCGTGTGCGCTGCAATGCAACCGCTATGCCGCACCTCGCCACTCCTCAAAGCCCTACGGATACTCAAGATAGAAACGGCATTGCTAAGACTTGAACTCGGACCAAGTCTGCTGTGCTGAGCCTTGTCCATCAGTCGTTTTCTTTCCCCACCCGTCCCCCACCTGTCAATCGTTTAGGCGCTCTGAAGCGGCCGCAACGGAGGCAGCGCACGAGGTAGGCGAAGTCTCTGAGAAAAAAAGTAGTCGTGCTTCGGTAGGCTGGAACACACGCTGGGCTGGGCTGGGCTGCATCTGCTGCGAATGCGACGCTGCGTAGGTAGGTAAGTAGGTAGTTCTGCTGGCACCGGTAACCTCTCAGAATCTCTCACTTTATCCCCTGCTCCTCCTTCCCCGTCCATTGAGTTGTGGACCCACGTCCCATGCCCTCTTTCTCTCTTTCTGCTTTCACCTCACCTCACTCCGACTAGGTGGGCTCCCCCCATTCCCGCACACGCCCCCCAAGCTCTTCGGCTGCACATCGACCCGCTTCTACAGAATTGCACTAGCCGTTCATAACAGCCCCGGGCGGCTATCGCCTGCTGCGAGGAACTGCCACACCCTTGCCCCCGCATGCGAGGTCGCGTCTTTCCCTCTCTGTCTGCGTTGCTGCCTCTCGCACTCTCTCCTCCTCCTGGACTGTGTGCCGAGATACAACGGCCTCTTGTACCTCCTGTACTTTCTCCCCGGCCACCATTCGAACCCTGGCACTGGTCCCCGCTGCCTTCAACCCTCCTCGCGAGTGGCACTTGCTCAAGTCGTCTCGACTGACAGGCTCCCCTTGCAAAAAAGACAAACCTTTGATCGGCACCATGGCTGTCCACTTCGCTCGTCATTAATAGGCCGCGGCCGTCTCTTGTCCTCACGAGGCTCTTTTCTCGTTCCTTACACTTCACAAGTCTTGTCGGAAAGGCTGACTCGGTTTGCTTCTTCTGCTCTATATTACTGTGCCATTCCCCTCCCCGGATTTTCGGACGGACAAGACAAACCTTACACCACACCAGTCCACCAATTTAGATGCGCCTACAAGACTCGAAAGAGCTCCTTCTTTGCCACCAAGGTTTCTCCCAGGACACCACTACTAGACACTCAGAGCCCACTGCCTTCCTCAACTGTCAAGACCTCTCCATCGCCATTCACTTGACCATGGCAAACCAAACCTACGTTGATCAGACATCCGTTCAGCCAGACGGACTGTCAGAACACATGACTAGCAGGCGCTCTTCCATGGTCCAGCCTCATGGCACGGCCTATCCAGAGCTTGAAAGCCCCCCATACTCTGTAAGTCAACTTATATGGCCTGCGGCCACCCCATGAGTCGAGCCTAACAATCCCAAGGTTACAACTTTTGGCCAGCAGCATCAGATCAACGAAACACATCTGTTGACCCCCGTCTCCGGTACCGGCTCGCCTTGTGTCCAGCAAACTGCCAGCCTGCCCCAGTACCCCTCCGCAATGACAGCGATGCAGTCACAAGCCAGCCCTTCTGGTCCTTCGAGGGTGCCTTGGCACAACCCTGTCAACATGAGCGCGACCCAAAGCCAAGTTGGCTCTCCAATGCCTATTAACCCACCCACGTCAGATAGCCATTTCGAGATGAGCTACATTCCAGCAGAAAACGACGATGTCCCTGAGCCACCTACAGACTACTATTGGGGCAACTACACGGTTTCCGCACAATCAGAGCCAGAGCAAGGGTCTCTATCGCCTCAGATGCCCCCAGAGTACTACATGCCTCACAACGGACAGCACGTTATGCAACCGCAACCGATCATGGGCCAGATGCCCTCAGAGCTCCCCATGCCGCAGAACGCTGCTCCCGTCCACGCACCATACTACACCCAGCAAAATCCCGCTCCCTGGGTAGAACAAGCCGACATCACCCATTTCAAGACTACGGCTACCAGGAGGCGCCAGTTCGGATACTCCCTTCCAAGCACACAGATTGCTCGTCAAGAGCCCATTGCGCAAGCATCTGGACCTTCGAGGCCTAGCCGTCCCCAGTCCGTAGGGCGGGTGGCGAGGCAGCCTCGTATGAGGGGTCGGACCACCCCACCCTCAAGGGAATCAACAGAGGCCGTTAACATTGCTCAGGCACAACTTGAGGAGGTCACTCCAGATCTTCCCGACGATTTCGTCATCAAGGAGGACTGTCCCCAGGAGCAGCGATTCCTTTTCGAGAGGCAGCGGGAGTTGACAGCAGCGGGCCACAAGGGGCGCGGCATGTGGGAGCTCATATCGGCGGAGTTCAACGCCAAGTTTGACGTGGATTCCGACATTCCTCGTCTACAGATGCTGGTGGCAAGAGGAAGGTACAAGTACCTCAGGATGTCACCGAGAGATGTAAGTTTGGCCTATTTTCCCCATCATCAAAGTAGCATGCTGACCGACGGCCAGCAACACCTTGCGGCCAAGGCATATGGGTTTGTCTGCCAGCAGTTCCACAAGATGGCCGCACATAAATTCAAGGAGTTCGGCGGTGGTCAGATTACTCCCTGGGGACAGAGTGCCCTTGAATGCTTCGCAGTCGACATGGGCTTGGTGGAAGAGTGCTACGTGCCCATGCCCAACGATCCCCAGGTGAAGACGCGTAGAGCAAAGAAGGTCAGCAACCGACTCCGATCTGGTGCCTACTCCAACGCCATCCTCCAGGAGGCAGCAAACAACGGCGGCGGAGTTTTGGAGCGGAACCCGGAACTGCGCGACCAAGTCATGGACGAAATCTTCGACTACAGGGGCGACGACGCTGAAGGGGAGGAGGAAGATGAGGCCATGCTCGACAAGATCTACCAGACTCGCTCAAAGGGAAGTGGCCGTCAAGGGGGTATCAAGCTTGAAGGCGGCCAGGGTGTAGACGCCATATCAGGCAAGGTCGCCAGCACCAGGAAGACCTCCAGATCAAGGAGGGCACCGGCGAAGCCCCGGGCCAAAGGACGCCTTGCACCAAAATCCAAGGCTTCTTGAGGAGTTTTTCCACAAGAATATGCAGAGCACACGAGCTACAACAGCCTTTCAATTCGCATTTTTTCATTGGTTGCGATTTTGGGTTTTGAGGTTAGGTCAACCTTTTCGAGCCAAATCAGCTTGGAGACGGCGCATAGATTGTTTGTCGTTTCTGTTTTGCATAACTTTTTTCTTCGTTTTTCTTTTCTTCAGAGGAAGATACCACTCATTCTGTCGGGGCTCACTGGGGGGGGCGTGAAATGGACGGCGAGGGCTCTTCTGGGTCCCGCATGCCGTCTTCTGCATGCACGATTATACTTCTCTGTACATATTTCTTTGTGGAAATTTTTTACGAATCGTCCATCACACACACGAAAGCATACAAGATCTGTTTTCGCACTTACATAGACATTGCTGCTCAACCGCCCTCTCTGGTCGTCTCAATACCACATCTTATGCTACTTACACTATCAAGAGAGCTGTTTCCCAGCTCACAGGGGCCTGTCACGATGACCATGCGGTTCAGCCCAACATGTCCCAATATCGAATGATACCTTGGTTGAAGAAGAACGACGCGATCTCATCTATCTCCAGGCAGAATTCCCAAGTTCTCGGGACCAAGGCAGCATTCGCACTCGCCGACGCGCCCAATGTAACGACACTAATAGTCTCATGACGACAAGGCAGCACAAGGCCATCAAGACCAAAACGGGTATCGCTTCTGTCACTTTGCCCGCTGATTCATCGTCATCAGGGCGCGCCAAGAGACAGAGACCCGTCACCTTGCCCTTCTTCTCCTCTTCGGCTGCTACGCCGCAACCAAAGGGGACGACGACGACGACGAGGAGCAGCACGCCTTCTTCGTACACCTCGCCAATGCTACATGCTGGCAATACTGGGCTAGCCCTCTCCAACGGGGGCCCCCCGTCTGTGCTTTCCCACCCCCGGTGCCGAGGAGCGGGCGAGGCGAGTGATGGGAAGGGGAGGGATGTGATAGACCCAGAGACCAGGAAAGACGGAGAGCATGGCAAGAGACAAGAATGGGAGAGAGTGCGTCCTGCGGCTGTGGCTTTCAACGGCGGTGGATCATCCCTCACCAACCCTGCACTGCTTCGACAACCTCATACGACAAGACGATATCCACAGCCAGACCGTGTCTGCGGCCCTTCTGGCCCGGATGCGACGTGCTACTTTTCCGCAGTCCAGGGAGTCGAAACTTTTGCCCTTTTTACTCGAATTAGTGGGTACATGAAAAGGACATGCCGGGGCAGGGAAGGGGGGGGGGCTAGGGAAAGTAGTGTTAGGGGATAAGCCCATAACGGGAGGGGAAGAGAGAGAGAGAGAGAGGAGACAAGCAGCAGCCGAAAAAGGGCATTATCAGGGATCACGTCAATGGCAAAAGATAGGGACAGGCGCAGGACGGCGGCGCCAGGCAAAAAGAGGCGGGAGAAAGAGGGTTGACGAGGGCGCCAGAGATGGAAGATGGGAATAATGGGAATGATGGGAGTGGTCGGCCGTCCGTTCTCCCTCCCCCCCCGTCTCTTGTTTCCCCGGGGTATCCCCGTATGGTGCCCGCTCGTTACCTTGTGCTCTCCTCTCTTCTCCTCCCCCCCTCCCCTTGACGAGAAAAAAGAGAAGACACCTGCCCTAGGGAACCCGGACCTCGAGTGGAGCGAGGATGGTGGAATCCCAGCCGACGGCCCCACAGAACAGCTTCCGCGCACTGTGATTGTCGCTTCCCGCCAAGCCAGACTTCGGCTTTCCCAGGGTGACTCGCACACCATGCTGCTGCCGCCATCATGCTCACGTGAAGTGGGAAGACTGTGGGAAATTTCCGTGGCACCGCTGTTGCTGAGATTGAGTGTCGGCGAAGGAGAAGAAGACGAAGAAGAAGACAATGCACGTAGGCTGCGTACTCGAGGGCCTATTCTCCGGGGTGATTCGTGCCCTGGGGGTGGTGGCGCGCCGCCGCCACCACCTCTAGGCATTGCGGAAACGGCCGTCCCCCAGGAATGACAATGTCAAGAGCCGCTTTCTCTTGCTGGAGACTGATAGAAACAAGAAGGAGACTTGACTTGCGACTGGGCCTGTCCTGTCCTGTCCGTCCGAGTCCAGAGTGAAGCTCATCTCCCTGGGCCTTTGGGCGTCAACAGATCCAAAGACCCGTACCTGTCGGTTCGAAACCTCGTCTCGCTTGTGGTTTCCAGTCTCGTATGAACTGATCTCCCAAACCCCCAAACCCAGGGCGAGTGCTACGCTTTGTCACATAATTCTAATCGCAATCAATGTACATCCCATCGTCTCATCTGATCGTAACAGCCCCCCCCCCCCTTCCCTTGAGGGGGGATGTTGCTGGGGAACGGAGGACGGGGGACGGATCGGAAAGGAGACTCGACTTCCCCTCCACCCCTCTCCTCCCATCATCATATCCTTGAGGGGTGATCTTGACCGGTGTGGTGACTGGACCTGATCACGGACCAGTCACTGGTCCTTTTGCTTCCCAGGTTCCGGGAAGAAAGGACTCGGCAAGCGAGAGGGGAGAAGGAAGGAGGCACAACCATCCTGGAAATGAGAGAGAGAGAGATTGTGTGTGTGACGAAAGATGTGATGAACCCCTGCGTTGCAAACCGTCCACTGACAAAATACACTATGATCCCTGAAAGGCTTGGTGCAAATAGTCCCTGATGGTGCGTGCGTATCCCCGACACTCCTTCGACTCCTTTTTTTTTCCTTTTTTTCTTTTCCATCCGTGTTTTCCTGGGGGCCTTTTTTCGGGGTTTAGTTTTTCTTCTTTTTTTTGGGGGGGGGGTCGCCAGCGTGCTATCTCTCGCAAGGACCATATATTCCGCAATATTCTCTTGTTCGCGCGCCTTGTGTGGAGCATCCTAAGGAGCTCCTCGGAATCTCCACTCACCGTCCACGTCTGGGCTGGTCTGCAGAGACACTTCATCAACGGTCCCGGAAACTCGGTAAATGAGCTGTGGACAGCGCGCGATAAAAAGCAAACGCTCATTTTGTCAATCGTCTGCGTGAGAGAGAGGAAAAGAGAGGGACGGAGGGAGTGGAGGAAAGGCCCGCCCTTATCCTTCATCGGATCCCCGCGGAGTCGGGCTCGACGCTACAAGTTGTCAACGTGGTTTGCTATCTCGTGAGTTGCGAAACTGTTTTGGACGCTCTCCGTCGTTTCCTAGGCTACTGGCTCTTTTGACAAAGATTGCGGTTGCGTTCCCCCATCCCGAGAACCCCTAAGAGATGGGAGAGGGGTGAAACGTAGACAGAGCTTTTGAAAGTGCCCTCCCTTATCCCGGCTTGCCTAGGCCACGGACCATGAGGTACCCGAGGGTGTTGATCGACCACAATGGGGATTTTGTGACTGGGCTGAGCTACCGTTGTCGAAACGATGTAGCCCTCTGTTGCAACCTGTCTCTCACAGGCAGGCTAAACCTTGTCCAATGCACACGTCAATGCCATTGTCCACTTTTGCTCTCTCGGCGATCTTTCCAGACTACGGTTTGTTTGTCACCTCACACCATTGTCGGCGGCCGCCCTTCTGTGAGGTGGCATTCTCGTCTACTATGGTGTGTCTGCTCTGCGGGCCTGGGTTCAACTGGCGCATCCCGTTCCCGCAAGTGCTGGACCTGACCTCGTAGGTTACATTTGCGGAATGGCAAACCCCGGATTTGGCGCATCATTGACGTCCAACACTTTTTATTTGCGCCTGTTCGAACCGCCTCTCGGCTCCGTTCCAACAACGAAGCTGCGAAGCGCGAAGCGCGTGTGCCAGGCCGAAAGGGCGATCATGCCATCCATCACATCTGTCATGCACCGCACCCGGAATAAGACGCCAGATCATTGCCAGACTAGCAAAGAAGTGGCCGGTAATTCACATCTGCAGCGGCTAAGCCACTACAAATGCGAAAACCAGCCAGTAGCATTGCCATCCGTCCTCTCGGGACCAATCAATATTGCAGGATGGAACCGCCTGCCGGGTATAACCTCTACCTTGCAGGCAGAGCTGCAGCGTTCCATTCAGCGACGAGGACAGCAAGCAAGCGAGCAAGCCAGTTGGGGTGGGGTCGTCGCGCCAGCAGCGCCATGAAGGTTGTCGTCTCCCACCCCCTCTCTGCTTTTCCCACCAGTAGGCGCTCGCCTTCCTCCATGCTGGCTATGGAGCGGCGGAAAACATGCCCTCTGTCGCAGAGTTTCTGCATCATCTGTCTCATTCTTGCTTCTTTGCAGGCCCCGATCCAGAGTATCGGGTTCAAAGTCGGTGAAGACGAATTTGCTCTTGTTCCGCAAAGGTATCCAGGCCGTCCTTCTCCTGCCTCATTGGGAACACTCGAAACAGCTCTGGTGCCGAAATGACTGGTTCGTCCTCTCGCCATTGATATCGCACGATTGCCTACGCCCAGGCAAGGGTGGGGAAAAAGCATTGCGCCCGCAATCGAGCTTTCTGCCACTCGGCACTCACGGCACGCTCCGCCGTTGTGATGACCGTTGTGATCAGAACGCCCTACTAATCTTCCTAGAGCATCTAGAAGCGGAAGAAGTTCTGGTTTTTGCGCCACAGACCAGGGGACTCAGGAACTTCAGCTCGAAGGCTTGGGTTGTTGCCCAGCAGGGGTCGTGACAAACACACTTCGCAATGGGTGTGCCTCCAGAGATTCGAGTGCGGCGGAATGGGAGGTTCGTGTACGCAAAGGACGGACCACCCTGAACTGCGGGCGTTACATACAGCAAAAGTCATTACAGCTCGTGGTTGCCAGGGGTGGGGGCTTTCTCGCTGCAACTTCGGAGTTCAGAGGCTGTCGCTTCATTCGCGTATCAAAGCTGGCGCCAAGCTGTCTGCTCTTCGTTTCCTGGCAATTGAGAGCGCTCCCATCGTCCAGAGCAATCTTCCCGACCCGGTTCTACCGACTGCCTCCTGTATCCCGACGTCGCAATCCTTGGGGTTGCAGTAGAGCTGGCTGATGACAATGCATTATTCAAAAAGTCGCTGCGAGTGGCTGAGTTCCGAGTGTCAAGTACCGGGGTTTGGCTACGGATCCGAGTGTGTGAAGCTGAAGTCATGGGCCCCCAAACTGGCCTGGCAGTGTGCGGCCAGTTTGGGCGGCCACCTCTGGTTGAATCACATACGCCCCGGGGTGATACCCAATTGCGACCCAGGCGACGATGTGGACGTCACAAGTGACCCCAAGAGGACGCTGCCGAGAAAGCTCGATGCCGAAGACCGTTTCCTCTCGATGCTGCCTGAAGCTGGAGAGCAGACGCCTTTAGTTGAAATGGCTTGACAGTGTGGAGGCGACTGCCTTGGGCTTGCTGCACCTCAACCAGCATCATGGTCAGGGGCGTGAATTCAGTGTACTTTGGTTAGATGTTCTCTTGAACCATGCCCAGAAGTCATAAATCAACAAAGGGTAGCATCATCGACGGTTACTCTGCGCTTATGCGGCGCGCCTATGGTTCGTGGTCGTAAGCGCTTCGAGACATCATGGCTTTTGATGAGGTTGGTTATGAAGGATTTTGGCGCTGTGGAGTTGGAAGGGAAGCTTCAACTAGCGCCCGAGCGCACTGGCCGCACCTTGTTCTGAAGCTGAAGACGATAAGATTGGACGATAAGGAAGATAAGCCGTTGGGGTGACCAGCCTCACGTCCTTCGTAGTGTCTGGGAAAGTATCATTGATCTTTGCTTCCTTGATAGGCACAATTTTGGCGCTATTCAGAATTCCATTGCTGGTTTTTTCTGTTCCTTTTTATTGATGAGGTTAGATGTAAGGTAGTTGCTCTTCCCCAACTACCCAACAATTAACGTTGAGGTTTGCAGCCTTCACCTGGCCAACAAACTTACCTCAAGACTGTGAACGCATATCCCAAACTGACGTCAGCTTCAGCTGACGACTTGTAGCCGTTCTTGTCTTGGCCTGGTGAATATAAAGTAATTATATTCTACTACAACTCGATGCTTCTTGTCGCCATATTCATCACCCGGAATTTCGATTGATACAATGTAGCAACGGCTGTCATTGAAAGAGAGTTCGCAGTACAATAGACCTCCTGACATCAGGGAAAAATCAGGCTTGGTTGAACTACAAAGGAAGAAGCATTTAATCTACTCATATCGTTCTCGTCTTCTAGAAGCATACGAAGCATATGACGACTGGCTCAAAACACATTCGTCCAGTCTCAGAACATGGAGAACGTCAGAAGTTGAGGTGCAGCGTGCAGAGGACGATTCTTTGCTGAGTCAGCGGCTCCACCAATCAGGAGAAGATGACAGACATCGCATCCCACTTTCGAGCTTCCACGTCAGGGAGGCACGAGACCTACCAAGGGAAGCCATATCTTTCAATCAACGCTCTTTTTTTTCTAGTATTGTCATTTTCATCTGGTGGTATCCATGTCTCTATTTTGAATCACTACTTGCTGAATGGTTCATATCTCCATGACGACCATTGTCCTCAGTCGCGCATAAATCGAGAGGCATCTGCCGCTGGCAGCCCGCTGATTGATGGGAACCCTGCCCAGCGCCGAGGTTCCAAGCAGATAGCATCACCATGCTATCGCAACTACTTGCCCTGGCTCACCTTTGTCTTTTATGGCCTCTAGCCGTGTCCGCAATCAGCCCTGTCCGCCTCGCCGAACTTCGCAACGCAACTACACAGGTCTTCCACCATGGCTGGGACAACTACATGCGCATTGCCTTCCCAGAGGACGAGGTATGTCTCCTCGAGGCTTCACAAGCATATCAGTACTAGACTGACTTTGACCTATAGCTGCGCCCAATCTCCTGCACCCCACTGACGCGCGATCCCGCGAACCCCGGAAACTACGACCTCAACGATGTCCTTGGGAACTACTCCTTGACCCTCATCGATAGCCTATCGACTTTGGCGATCCTCGCAGGAACTCCCTCCGATCACAACACTGCTGTGTGGGCTTTACAGGAATTCCAGCAGAGCGTGGCGGCTTTCGTTGAGTACTACGGTGACGGCAGACAAGGCCCTTCCGGAGAAGGGCGAAGAGCACGGGGGTTCGATCTTGACAGCAAAGTCCAGGTCTTCGAGACGGTCATCAGAGGGGTCGGTGGTCTACTGAGCGCACATCTTTTTGCCGTTGGAGAGTTGCCGATACCGGGATACAACCCAGGCCATGTCTTGGATGAGGACGAGGAATCAGATCCATTGGAACTGCACCCTATATCCTGGCCGAACGGCTTCAAGTACGATGGTCAACTCCTGAGGCTAGCCTTGGATCTCGCGGAACGACTACTCCCTGCTTTTTACACAAAGACAGGTCTTCCATACCCTAGGGTCAACCTGCGACATGGTATTCCGTTTTACGTCAATTCCCCGCTACACAAGGTCTCCCGCGATGACCCAGACTCGCCTCGAACTACAAACGAGAAAACAGATACGTGCAGCGCCGGCGCAGGAAGTCTTGTTTTGGAGTTCACCGTTCTCAGTCGACTCACGGGCGATCCGAGATTTGAGCAGTTAGCCAAGCGGGCGTTTTGGGCAGTCTGGAAAGCCAAGAGCGAAATTGGTCTCATCGGGAATGCCATTGACCCTGAAAAGGGCGAATGGGTTAGCTTTGACTCGGGTATAGGTGCCGGCGTTGACAGTTTCTTCGAGTATGCTTTGAAAAGCCATATCCTGCTGTCGGGTCATGAGCTCCCCAACGTCACAATATCAGAGCCACCCACGGACCGACAATGGCTCGATCCCAACACGTTGCACGACACGCCGCTGACCCCGGAAGAGAACTCTGCGGGGGCTTTTCTGGAGGCATGGCATCATGCACATGCGGCGATCAAGCGTCATTTGTACAACGATGCTCATCATCCGTATTACATGACGGGTCACCGGACCCGTGGGTATGCTTTTACGAGCTGGATTGACAGTCTCGCGGCGTTCTATCCCGGTTTGCTTGCCATGGCTGGCGAAGTTGAAGAGGCAGAGGAAGCCAACTTGCTCTACACAGCCCTCTGGACTCGCTATGGTGCTTTGCCCGAGCGATGGTCTGTACGCGATCGACAGGTCGATTCCGGCATTGGCTGGTGGCCTGGTCGGCCCGAGTTCATCGAGTCGAACTACTACTTGTATCGTGCTACGAACGACCCTTGGTACGTGCACGTTGGGGAAATGGTCCTTAGTGATATCAAGAGGCTGTGTTACACAAAGTGCGGTTGGTCCGGGTTACAAAACGTCGACACAGGGGAGAAGGCCGACCGCATGCAAAGCTTTTTCCTGGGTGAAACCACCAAGTACCTGTACTTGCTTTTCGACCCAGACCACCCTCTGAACAAGCTTGATGCTGCTTATGTTTTTACAACCGAGGCGCATCCTCTGATAATCCCTCGACGGAAGACAAAGCCAAAGAAGAAGCAGAAGTCCCGCCAGTGGGCCAAGGGCGTCAACGTCTACTATGACGAAAACTTCACAAACACTTGCCCTGCTCCGGTAAAACAAGTACCCTTGACCGGATCGGTTCTCGCCGCGCGAGCAGACGTCTTCCACGCGGCAAGTTTCGTCAACCTTCATACCATATCCAACCCGAGGAGTGGGGTGGAGTTTGTTCCTGCCGGCAAAGGAAGCAATGGCTCAATCTCCAGATACAAGGCAAACCATACATTTTTTCCCTGGACATTGCCACGGTCTCTCATTCCCGACAACGGTACTTGCGCGGCGTTACCTTTCAAGCCTACACTCATCATCGAGTTTCCATCAAGTATTCAGCAGGGCAGTGTCGGCAGCGCTTTTAACAACCTCTTTGCTAATACTGCCGCCTTCAAAACACCGGTCGGCGTCAGAATATCTGCTCTTAGCGGGCTGAAAGTCCACTTCGTTCAGGAGGACACATTCGACTCTGCATACGATCATACCTGGCGGGTTACGCAAGTTAACCACATGCCCCTGGGGCGGGATGAACCTGTCCACATCGACGCAGACCTCCTGAATGGGATCTCCGACCCTCTCTTCAACCGTGTTCGGTACAATGGATTCATTGAACTCATAATGATGCATGGAGAGCCAGAGGAGCGTAATGCCAGCGCTCCAGTGCCCGCTGAGGGACTTGAAGTCGAAATTGGTGACCTCGACGATCAGGTTCAGCTTACCGAAGAGGCCAGGTCTGAGCTTGCGGAAGACCAGGCTGCGGGGAAGAGCATGAACACTGCGTATCGGTCCATGCTCAAGTCCATGATCCGCGCTGTCACGTCGGTCTTTGATCCTACCAATACTCCGGCGCCTCGTCCCGCAGGAACTCAGGCGAAATTCCATGTCGAGAGTTATATGGGGGCTTTGGCTGTGGGTAAGGGGGCTGTTCCACTCCCTGATATCCCCGACGCATCCATCCCCACCGACGATGTTCCTCCAAATCTCCAGTGGCAGACAGTCTACCGCGCAGGTTTTGGCTGCGACGGCCGCCTGCCGGACGAGGCGCCCCGCCATCATCAAGTCATTGTCATGCGCCGTGGGGGTTGCTCCTTTAGCGAGAAGATCGCCAACATCCCCTCCTACACGCCCTCAGCGCGCTCCCTCCAGCTCGTTATTGTTGTCGATGAGGACGAGCTCGAGAACAACTACGTCTTCAGCGCCCCAGACATGTGGGAGTATGAGATGATCAAGCCTCATCTCGACGTCGAGCAGATTACGCCGGCAGGACTGCGGCGGCCGCATCCCATTGCCATGGTGATGATTCGCGGCGGCGGACCCGAGGCGTACGAGAAGTTCGGAAATGCTCTGGGGGTGGGCGTCCGTAGGAAGTACTTCATTGAGACGCAAGGACGGAGGGTGGACAACATCATTGTCCTTTGAAAACTGTCGAAGAAGTGTCGAGTGTTAGGATGACAGTCGTATCTCACCAAAGGTTCGCGAAGATTTTTAGGAGCATAGCGTAACAGTGTATATTTGGGGTCTGAAACCAGGGTGCATGATAGATACCACTTATGGAGGAGTTTCCGAGCTACGTTTTCCCTTGGTATAGAATTGCAAAGTTTACCTTGCGGTATTTATGGTCAGTTGCGCGTTACCAGTTCATTCGGGAGACATGTGATTGTGTGGCAAAGCGACTAGCACATCCAGGGTGCGCATGAAGCGGCGATTCTCTCCTTTTGCGTAGGACCGCCTGAATGCATAAATAGCGAAGCGTTGTAAAATACATCGTGACAGGTCGATCAACAGATTGACCACGATAAAAGTCCATCAAGCAGACGTAGCTGCATCCGTGTCACCTCAGACAGCAGCACATTCAAAGTTCCAATTTGTGGGTCCCCGATGTTAATTGACAATCCTGAATTTAACAAGAACTTCCCCTGACTAAGTTCCAGCGCGGTGGCAACTCTGGCTGGTGGCGGAAAGGTATTCAGCTCAACTACCTAGCCTACTTGATTTCAGCTCGCCTGGACTCAACAATCACCAGGCTGCCCCGAGCTTCACCACTGCAAAGCCAGCCTCGCCTTCCAACGACCCCGTCCCCAATTCCAAGAGGGGTTGCTTCGCGGCCTGGAGCTGGCCACCCGCCATCGGAGCATATCCCCGCGAACGACGCGAAGGCGCTCAGCATTGTAAAGACGGGGTGCGGCGTATCGGCAGTCCAGCCCGGCCGCTTACTCCAACTCCGTCGACGACGCAGCAGCTCCTCCTCGGCGTTTCGTTGCATTAGAACCCGGCAACGCTGAGAGATCCTAGTCGAGACACAGTGCCATGGAATCCCCGTTCTTCAACGGAGAGCCCAAGTCCAAGGCCGCGACCTTTCATGGGCGGCTGCGGCTGCAAGAATACATGTTCAGCTCGGCAGCATCCACGCCACCTGGCGGAGTAGCAGCCGGAGCACCCACAACAGCCGCGACCCCAAGCCTCCAGTCCCCATCCCCGGTGCCGCTCCGCCGCAGCCCCCGGAAGGCGACCCCACTCGGTCTCGTCCCGTCCCCGAACCGCGTCACCAAGCAACGCACCGCCGGCGCCGGCAGAACCACCAAACCCGTGGCGTCGACACCAGAATCCCAGACGCCTCCGCCCCCGACCTCTAGTGTTCTCTCGCCGAAACCCGAGTGCCCAGACTCGGACTCCGCCGACCTCGCCCTCGTTCCCGCAACCACCGCCGCGCCCGTCCGGGACGCCGCCAAACCAAAACGCAAGCGCAAGGCAGCAGGCTACGCCCCGCCCTCGACCTACGCCCACCTCCCGCCTCTGACGGACATCCTCGCCCCGGGCCTCCTGATCCTCTTCGTGGGCCTGAACCCGGGCCTCCGCACCGCCGCCCTCGGCCACGCCTACGCCCACCCCTCCAACCTCTTCTGGAAACTCCTCCACTCGTCGGGCATCACCCCACGCCTGTGCGCGCCCACGGAGGACCGCGACCTGCCGCACCTCTACGGCCTGGGCAACACCAACATCGTCGCCCGCCCGAGCCGCAACGGCGCGGAGCTGTCCAAGGCGGAGATGGACGAGGGCGTAGACGTGCTGGAGGCCAAAGTCAGGGGGTGCCGGCCCGAGGTGGTGTGCATTGTCGGCAAGGGCATATGGGAGAGCATCTGGCGGGTGCGGCGCGGGAGGGGGATCCGGAAGGCGGAGTTCCGGTACGGGTGGCAGGACGAGGGGGAGAACATGGGCGTCGTTGTCAAGGGGGAAGAGGATGGTGGTGACGATGCGTCGAACAAGGCCTGGGCTGGGGCAAAGGTGTTTGTTGCGACGAGCACGAGCGGGCTGGCTGCTACGCTCCGCCCGGCGGAGAAGGAAAAGATCTGGAGGGAGCTGGGAGAGTGGTGTGAGAGGAGGCGGGCCGAGATGAAAATGGATGCCTTGTGAAAGCTGTCCGGAGTGCCTCACGGCAGGAAGAAAGCGGCAGACGCGGCTTCTCCCATTTGCCATGGCACAAGTCGAGATATCACAGCGATAGCGTGTTATAGAAGAGTTCATAGGAGCATTAACATATTTTTTCCTCCTCGTCGCAAAGCTTCATTTTTCTAACTATCATTCAAGAGACCTCCTTTAATCATCGAGGAAACCATCATGGGCTTTAGCCTGGTATCATGTTCAACTCCAGAAAGTGTAAAGTCATACAGCCAACCCCTATGTACAGTCCAATCATCACATTATACACCAAGCCCGTACTCATTAAGCGTTTTTGTACCATTTGTGTGAGATTATGCGGCAAACACCATCGCCAGAACAACCGCGGCGACGGGCCAGAAACCGAGCGTCTCCACAGCAGTGCGGAAGGCGGCGGAGCCAACCTCGTCGTCACCGCCGGCCGCAGTTGTGCCGTTGGGCAGGGTGCCGTTAATGAGGATAGTCTCAGTGCCATTCACCTCGCCAATGTTGACGACAGTCTTGTTCAGAGCGTTGTAACTTCCGTTGCCGAGGAGCGAGTTCATGTAATCGGTGGCGTTGTTCTCTTCGCAACCGCAAGGCTGGTTGTCGGCGCAACCACAGAGCACTGGTTTCGTCTGGTTCGCGCGTGCGGTCTCGTTGTAGTAGCGGTAAGGGTAACTGTACGGGTACATGTGTGCGCCGGCAAGCCAGAGGCCCGGCCAGAAGGCCAGAGCACCACCGACCAAGAAGAACGGCACCATGCTGCCACTCCTTGCGCCGGCCCTGTAAGGAACCGTTGCGCCACCGCCGTAGTACCTGCCGCCGCCGTAAGCCGGCGCAGGGCCGCTGCCCGACCTTGTCGCTCCGCCAGCGTTGTCGCGGACGCTGCCTCTCCCAGTGCTTGATGCGCTGTTAGTTTGCCTGTTGCTCGACGAACCGGACCGGGACTGTCCAGAGGACCCATACCTGGAACCACTGCCACCACCGCCGCTTCTCGAACCTCCTGTGCTGCCGCCTGTACCACCTTTGGATGAGCTTGAACCCGAGCCAGAACTGGAGCCGGAGCCGCCTGAACTGGAGCCCCCAGAGGAACCGCCAGAACGACCACCACCTCCCGAGCGGGACCCACCTGATGAACCTCCTCCGCGACCACCGCCGCCTCCACCGCCGCCCTTGCGCTTCCACAGCTTCTCGTCTTGCTGGGAGTTGTCGCGCTCTGCTTTGGGGGCGAGGAATGCGACATCTGATCCGTGAAGTCCGGTATCGACGGCTGCGGCCCACGCGGGCGCGAATAGCGCCAGCGCGACGACTGCGATGTCTGGTCTCATTTCGCTTGGCGCGCTTTGAGTGTGTCCGATTATTCGGTAACGTATATGGAAGATCGTCGGGTAGGAGGATCCTTCCAAATCAAGTGTTTGACAACGGGTACGACCGATGGGAAGTCTCGCGGAACTTCAAGTACGAATGGCCAGAAGTTGAGTTTTGGGGGAAGTAGGGATGTAAGATTTCGGGTGGTAGGGAAAGTGCAGGAAAATACCGTCCCGACGATGGAGCAGAGCGGGAACGAGGGTAATTTTGTCTCTTTGCCGTTTCAAAGAAGGTCTGGCGTGTCAGGTGCCAAGAGATGCGCTGTGTGCTTGAGTGGTTGCCCACCCACCGAAACAGGGATGCTCGGACTGATGACGGTCCCGACAGACAATGTGTAATTGACTGAGTGGTTGCCACCGACTAAGCAGACTATGACGGATGGCCGGGAGAAACGCTACGCCCAGTTGATGTGTGTGCTGCGACGGTGTTCGCTCTCGTGCTTATGTTCTCGCCCTTGGCTCAACTGCCTAATACGGCGCTGGTAGAACGGGGTTCGGGTTCGGTGGTCGCTGAGGATCGGCGCCTGGGGGATTTCTGGGTGTAAGGGTGCGATTGGATGAATGCGCAATGAAGTCACTTCTGAGCCGTCGAAAGAAGGGGCCTTTAGGCGTGGTGGTGCGACCCTTAGGTATTCGGAACGTATTGTTTTCAGGTGGAGAACAGAGAAATGCCAGTCTATGATGCAAGCAGGGTCCTTGGCCTGTTTTCTGATAGGTATGAATTTGTGAGATGATATTCTCGAAGGTGACAAGAACGATGACGAAAGAGGACCAGAACATCCCCTGGACGTCCTCTGGTTAAGTATTCACTCTGCATCTCAGCTCTCACTTCTCTCATTACATCACAAATATCAGCCCGGGTCATGAGGCGGCAGCCGCACAGCAAAGAATCGATCCTTCGTCTGGATCCGCGTTCATCGAAAAATCTGCCATTCCCAAGTATTTGTTTCGAGGGGGGCACGGTCATCGCTGCGCCTTACGTGACCGGGGCTTGAATGGAATTCTCAGCAAGCCGTTTATGTCGGTCCATTTCTAGCGGTCAACCGACAATCCACAGAGGAGCCGCAGGCAGCCCTTTTCGACCGTTTGCGGGCAGGCGTGACCAAATCTCTGGGGCGATATGGAAAGAAGCTCCGCCACTGGAATGGACAATCGTCAGTATAGGTGAAAGACCGGCGCTTCAGCCGTTGCGGTTGCCCCGTCTGAAGAGGAGCGCAACATCCAGATTGCTGGCAAGGAAGGTTTAGCAGCAGCAGCTATTCGGCATAGTCGGGCGACGCCAATTGTGATGGTTTCGGGGACTTTAGCAGACTGCACCGCAGGGTTGCATGGTACCTTTGGCACACAGCCACGGGCGCGCCGAGACGCAGGTTTCTGCCTAATAGAGGCATGGGGTGACAAAGTCTCTTCTCCTCGCTTATTCAAGCTTAATCGGTGGCTAAAGGAAGCTGTGGATAGACTTGTGAGGCTGTGCAGCGCCCATCACATCTCGCCTCCCAATGCGCCATTGGCTGGGTTAAGCGGTCAGACACTGTTACATCTCCACATCCTCAGAGTGTCAGCCCAGCATCGCTGCACTAATCAAAGCTGAGTATTCCCCAGTCCTCGCCCCAATAGGCCGCTGAACGACTCTCCAGCCTGTCATTCGAACCACGAGGGGCCCTGGTTATCTCGTGGGATTATTGAGAGATCTGTGTGACCCCTTTGCCCCAGATTCTGCACCCATCGATCGTCCGTCCCTGGATGCCTCGCAAGCCGCCTTGCGCTACTATCCAAACCGTTTCCTCAGTCACCGGGCGTCCAACTCCATACCGCCGCATGCTAAGGAGCACTTCCTCGGAGACCCATCGAACCACACATCGCCCACTCTCGCCATCGCCGACAGGTTGACGGGGTCGGTCACTCTCACCTTGCATTACCCAACGTCTGACCAAAGCCTATTATCAGCTCCGTTCCTCTCATCTCGATCTACTTGACAAGTTTTATTTCTCCGAGCATGAGCGGCCCTGACAAGAGTTTGCTCGATCGCCTGAGCGCGCTGAAGGGCGGCGGCAGTCCTGGGGTTTCGTTAGACCGATCATCAAAGTAAATCATACCAAAAGAGCCGCTTTCTCGGTGACCTCGGGAGCCATGGCTAGAATACAAATGCTAAGGTTTCTCAAAGTGCCCTGAATGTCTCCCTCACTGGCATTGAGCCAGCAAAGCCAGCTTCGAGAGAAGATGCACTGGCGGCCAGACTACGGTCCCTGAGAAACACACCAGAGCGCGAGGAACATCTTCTTCCGCAACCACAGACCGCAAAAGTTGCGGCGAACTCGCATCTCTGTCAACAAAAGACCACCGGCACCCGTGGAGAGGCCACACACTCACCATCAGGGTCTCCATCCTTCATCCGACAGTCACGCACGGTGGAACCGGTTGTGCCTGCACCGCCTCAGTCGTCCTCGAAATCGCCCGCGCCGTCAACCACGCCGGCTCCGGTAGCGACTCATGCAGAAGCGGGGGATGACGTCGATCCCCTCCTACAAACCGACGACCAGACACTCGAGGATCTGCTCAACGATGAAGATCTCCTTGACGAGTCTGTTTCCCGAGGTCGGTGGCGTTTCGACCCCAAGGCTGAGTCCGCCAAGGTGGATGCCCTTCTGGAAGAGCTCTCGAAAGCTTCGGTGGACCAGCAGGCGACGTCTCGGAATGATGCCGGCGCCAAGGGTGAGAGGGCGCGTGATGCACACAGTGACGATGAGTCCGATGGCGAGGAGATGAGCCGCGAGGTGGAGAACGTGCTCTCCCAGGCTTTCGATGAAGCAAGGTTGAATCCCCAGCCCGAAGAGGTGCCCGACCCGCCAGCTCCAGGCAGAAGTCGAGCTACTCCCGGCCACGCGAACGAAAGCGGTCCATGGGAGGACCATCAAGGCGATGGCGACGGCAATATGGGGCTTTCCCTTCCGTCTGTACCTTCAACCCTCGCGGCGCCAAAGGTAGACGACGAGAGCGAAGGTGGCCTCTCGCTGCCCTCCGTCCCATCTGGCGCACCACAACACGACGCTGAATCGGGTTTCGACAACGAAATCGCTGCGCGCATGGCCGCCCTGAGCGGTCTGGGCTCCTCATCGGATGGCATGGGCTTGCCCTCGGTCCCCACGTTCCAGCCGGCGGATCGCGCAGTGAAGCGGCTGACCTCCAAAGCGGGGTACACGGACGAAGACGCCGACACTTGGTGTACGGTATGTCTAGAGGAAGCCACTCTGCAGTGTCTGGGCTGTGAGGATGTGTACTGCGCGAGGTGCTGGCACGAGATGCACGTTGGGCCTGCCGCAGCCTTCGACGATCGGACGCACAAGGCCGTCCGGTTCGTAAAGCCCAAGAAGGATAGCCAAAGAAGGGTTATGCTAGGAGCATCATGAAGGAAACAATATAAATAGCTTGGGCATTCTGTGTCGCTAACCATAGTACCAAACCAAACCCTCCTGCCGCCGTGTGCCGTGGCCGTAACCCAATACAAATTTCACGCTACCCCGAACCTTTCCCTACATGTCATGTGCCTGTTTTACAAACCTCGCATATGCTCGGCACTCTGTTTCCGACACAACGAGTCCCTTCCACAAAATTAAGCCTCGGACGAGCCACCGCCGTTGTTGCTCTCCTGCGTGCCGTAGGTACTCTTCGATTTCGTGCGCCCCGTAATGTCCTGCCACGTCGCTCCGAATCTCCGTCCGGTGCTCGCGAGCAGACCCTCCTCCTCATCCTCCTCGGCATCCTCGTCGAGCTCGGATACGTTAAGCTTGGGTGCTCGGAACAGTCCAGTCACAAAGACAATGAGGAAAATGCCGAGGAAGACGAATTGGGCCCAGAAGTCCAAGGCGCCAAAGAAAGGCCAGGTGATGGCAATCCGGTTAAGAAACTCCGCCATGATTGAGGGTGTGCAGACCTTCAAGGCTTCGGGGTCCAAAGCCTCGGAGCATTGAACTAGATAGTCAGGTCTGTCCTTGCAGTTGGGCGTCTCGCCAGCGTGGTGAGGCGCTGTGCAAAACGTCTGCGTGCCGTAGATTGAATACTGCGGGGCCACCATGTTGGCGATAGCATAGTTGATGGCCAGAATGATGAGAGCCAGCATGACTGTTGCGACAAGTAGGGCTTGAGGTGCGGTACGTCCTTTGCGGATCTGGAAAATGCGAACCCAGAGGAACCGGATACCGACAGTGGCAATGCCCGAGATCGAACTGCTGAAGAAGAACAGAACAAGAAGAGCCATGAGTATGTAGTCGACCGGGAATGCTTTGGCCGACTGCGTGAAGATCCAATTGATGGGCTGGAAGATGTTGATGTGACCCAAAATGTAGCCGCACTTCCCTTTGCAGAACGAGTTCTTCGCCTTGTCGATTCCAGTGATCAACATGGAGACCCAGATTAAGACGGAAAGCAAAAGCAACAAGATACCACCAATAAGCTTGATGGGCCGGAAGACGGCGCAAATCTTGAGCCAAACCTTGTAGATGGTGCTGCGACCTTCCCCGGAGGCCTCGGCCGCCAATCTCTCTCGGCGCGTCAACGTCCGCTCCTCGCGCACAAGGGCCTCGAGCTCACGTCTGTCCTTGGATGACATGCCCTCGGGGCGACCGGCGTTGCGCATCTCTAGCTGACGTTGGCGTTCGCGGTTCTGCTCCAATGCCGATGCGGTGCTTTCCGAGAGTTGGGGTGCTGATATGGAAGGCGCAGACTTGATGAAGGACATGGGAAGCAGCGCCAATCCAGCCGCTGTGTAGACAACGTATAGCAAAACTCCGAGGGTGACGAGCAGACCCAATGCGAAGGAGAGGGCTTTTTGTCCTTTGTTCTGAACAAGGATGCGCTTGAAGTAGTCCAAGTCCCAGTTGGCGCCATGGTGATCTCCAGCAGCGGGTACGAAGAAGCCGACCAGGAAGAGGATCACAACCAGGACGACGAAGACCAATGTGTATTTCAGCGCGCTGATGAGGCGGCTGCCGAACGATCGACCCTCCTCGACTTCGATCTCATCGTATTCCTCATGCCAGAAGTAGGCGAATGGGATAATCAAAAGACACAGCAGAGCGTCGAAGCTGTATAGAGAGTAGTAGACGATGCGCAGAGTCTGGAGGATATCGTGGACTCGCTGTTCCGTGGCCCAGTCCTTTTTCACACCAAGAGATGCGTGCGTTGTCGAAGAAATAAGAGCGATATCGACAGGAAGTAGAAGAACCGTTGCCAAAAGGGCTGTGAGACTGACGATGGCGACAATACTGACTATGGCGGATCGCTCGCGGGGCGTTTGCCATGTGAATGTGGTGATGATGGCAGCCAGGAGACAGAGGACGACAGCTACAGCGTACGCGACCCAGATGAGACTGGTCTGGAGCAGGCCTGCGTTAGCCATGATGAGTTGCGATTTTGCAGTGCGTCTACAGTAAATCGCAATTCTCGGACCGCACTCTTTCTGTTGTTGTTTTTCGAAGAATATACTGGAAGGGGAGCTGTGGGAATCGTCATTGTTTCACTGCTAGATTCCTCAGCGCTGGGGTGAGCTCTACAAGCTTAGCGTGCCTTGGGTCTGTAGAGGTTGCACCGGGTGACGTAACTCGCGCCGAATAATTAGCTGATAGCTCCTGCTGTCGCGACAGACTAGGTAAGGGAGTCTGAGAGGCCCCAGCTGCGTGTGTGCGCCGCAGCGGCCTAGTACTCGTCACTGGGGCGTGGATCCGGCAGCTCGCTTAGGTAATAATAGGTGCAATGTACCCTCGGCCCAACCGTTGTTCCGACTCGACAGTTCCTGCCAATCAGGGAACGCGACACGCTCAATGGGCTTTCTCCCGTCTTTAGAGCTCCTTGTAGACGGAAGGAGCTCTGAGCTTTGCGACAATCCTTCACGCTCCTACAACCACTATCTTACACTCCCAAACTAATGACAGCAGACGGTTTGAGGGCAATTGCCTGAGACTGTCAAGATGCAGTGCTATACAGAGCTCACGCCGCCGACTGGCGTGCAGTACAGTCTTAGCCTGCCATTCCTCTCAGCGCAAAGCAACAATCTGGTCGTCGCAAAGGGCTCTCTGCTGCAAATCTTTACGACAAAGACTATCTCTTCCGAAGTCGACACTTCGCAGACTCGAGAGAAACAGACATCCAGGGCCGAAAACCCATACGACCGCCGATTGAACGACGATGACGGCCTTGAGTCTTCTTTCTTGGGCGGCGACGGCATGCTGGTTCGCGCCGATCGCGCCATCAACACCAAGCTTGTACTCGTCGCCGAATACCCAGTATTTGGTGTCGTGACGGGCCTCGCAAGAATCAAGCTCCAACACTCGAAATCAGGGGGCGAGGCTCTCCTCATTGCTACAAGAGTTGCTAGGCTGAGCCTGGTCCAATGGGATCCCGAGAAACACGCACTCGAGGACATCTCCATTCACTACTACGAGAAAGAAGAATTGGAAGGCTCGCCATTCGACGGCCCATTGAGCAACTACCGAACACATCTTGCCGTTGATCCTGGCTCGCGATGCGCGGCTCTCAGATTTGGCCCCAGATACATCGCCTTTCTCCCCTTCAAGCAAGCCGATGAGGACATAGATATGGATGACTGGGATGAAGATGTGGATGGGCCTCGGCCGGCAAAAGAGCCGCCAGCAACAGCGGCCACAAATGGAACTAGCAACATAGCAGATGTACCATACTCAACATCATACGTCCTCCCTCTACCGCAGCTTGATCCCAGTCTCCTTCATCCTGTGCACCTTGCCTTCTTGCATGAGTACAGAGAGCCTACCTTTGGTATCATTTCGTCGATGCAACGGCGCTCCAACACCCTACCTCGAAAGGACCACTTCTCATACAAGGTCTTCACTCTCGACCTGCAGCAGAGGGCTTCAACCGCCATTCTATCCGTCAACAACCTCCCGCAGGACCTCTTCAAGGTCATCGCTCTGCCAGGCCCCGTAGGAGGTGCACTTCTTGTCGGCACAAACGAACTGATCCACATTGACCAGTCCGGAAAGCCCAATGGCGTGGCCGTCAATACTTTCACGAAGGAGACAACGAACTTTCCCCTTGCGGACCAGTCCGATCTGGACCTGAGGCTCGAGCATTGCTACATCGAGCTCATGTCTGCCGAGAATGGAGAATTGCTCATGGTACTCAGTGACGGTCGGCTAGCCATCATTACCTTCAAAATCGATGGACGTACGGTCTCAGGGGTCAGTGTCAAACTGGTCCACGCGGATGTTGGCGGCAACATTGTGCAGTGCAGCGTTTCGACCATCTCGAAGCTCAGCAGGAACGTCTTCTTTGTTGGAACCACGGGCAGTGACTCTCTCGTTCTTGGCTGGACGCGGAAACAAGCACAAAACGCACGGAGGAAAACACGATTGGTTGACGACTCATTCGAGTATGACCTCGAGGACGAAGATATGGATGACGGCGATGACGACGATCTCTACGGCGAGACGACGACGACGATGATCCAGCCTGGAGCCACGGCCAACGGAGTTTCCAAGGGAGGGGATTTGACGTTCCGTATACACGACTCCTTGCTGAGCATCGCCCCAATCAAGGACATGGCCTCGGGCAAACAGGCCTTCATCCCAGATAGCGAGGAGGAGAAGAACTCGGTTGGTGTGGTGGCCGATCTTCAGCTCGCATGTGCGGTAGGCAAAGGCAATGCTGGTGCCGTCGCCATCCTGAACCAGAACATCCAGCCCAAGGTGATCGGAAAGTTCGAGTTTCCAGAGGCGAGGGGTTTCTGGACCATGTGCGTTCAGAAACCTATACCAAAGTCCCTGCAGGGCGACAAGGGAGCCAATGCGACAGTCGGCAGCGAGTTTGATGCCTCGTCCATTTACGACAAGTTCATGATTGTTTCAAAGGTCGATCTAGACGGCTACGAGACGTCAGACGTTTATGCTCTGACAGGAGCCGGGTTTGAAGCATTGACAGGGACGGAATTCGACCCAGCTGCGGGCTTCACCGTCGAGGCTGGCACGATGGGAAAGCACATGCGCATTATTCAAGTACTCAAGTCGGAGGTGCGCTGCTATGATGGAGGTCGGTACTCTGCCGCCTGTCTTCTTCTTTCGGACATCATTACTAACTGTTAACCAGATTTGGGACTTAGCCAGATTCTGCCAATGCTTGACGAAGAGACTGGCGCCGAGCCAAGAGTCATTAGTGCCAGCATCGCCGACCCCTATCTTTTCCTAGTTCGGGATGACTCGAGTATTATGGTGGCCCAAATAGATAATAACTGCGAGCTGGAAGAGGTTGAGAAGCAGGACGACGCCATCTTGTCAACAAAATGGCTTGCGGGGTGCCTGTACACAGACACGACAGGCCTCTTTGCCCCTGTTCAAACAGATAAGGGTATGCCAGCAGGCCAAAATATCTTTATTTTCTTGCTGAGCGCTGCGGGAGCATTATATGTGAGTCAATCGTTTGCTCGACTAACACACGTGCTTATATCTTTCAGATATACGCACTTCCGAATCTCTCCAAGCCTGTCTACGTTGCAGCTGGCTTAACCTACGTCCCCCCTTTTCTCTCCGCCGACTACGCCGTCAGACGCGGCACCGTTCAGGAGACGCTGACTGAACTTTTGGTGGCTGACCTCGGAGACACCACTGCTACTTCCCCATACCTCATCGTAAGTTTTCAGCCTCAGGGTACCTCTCGTCACCTGCTAACTTGTCACCCCAAAAGCTGCGTCACGCGAACGACGACCTCACGATATACGAGCCCATCCGTCTTGAATCACGAGACAAAACGCTGGGCCTCGCAAAGACACTCCACTTTCAAAAGATCACAAACCCTACCCTTGCAAAGAGCCCCGTCGAAGTTGCCGATGATGAAGCTAACGAGCAGCCGCGGTTCGTCCCTCTCCGACCCTGCGCCAACATCAACGGATACAGCACCGTTTTCCTCCCCGGGGCTTCGCCATCCTTCATTATCAAGTCCGCTAAGAGCAGCCCGAAGGTTGTCGGCCTGCAGGGTATCGGTGTGCGTGGTATGAGCTCGTTCCACACTGAGGGCTGTGAGCGCGGCTTCATCTATGCCGACTCGGAGGGCCAAACGCGCGTCACGCAGTTGCCCGCCGACTCCAACTTTACCGAGCTGGGCGTCTCGGTGCGCAAGATCCCGGTTGGTGATGATGTCGGTCTGATCGCCTATCACCCGCCCATGGAGACGTACGCCGTCGCATGCAGCGTCTTAGAGCGCTTCGAGCTTCCAAAGGACGACGACTACCACAAAGAATGGGCCAAGGAGGCGACCACCAGCTACCCCCAGACCGAGCGAGGCATCATCAAGCTCATGAGCCCGACAACCTGGTCCGTCATCGACACCGTCGAGCTCGAGCCCCACGAGGTCGCCATGTGCATGAAGACGCTTCACCTAGAGGTGTCCGAGGAGACCAAGGAGCGCCGCATGCTCATTACTATCGGCACGGCCATCAACCGCGGCGAAGACCTGCCCATCCGTGGTCGTATCCTAGTCTACGATGTCGTCTCGGTTGTACCGCAGCCCGGTCGGCCCGAGACGAACAAGAAGCTGAAGCTCGTTGCTAAGGAGGAGATTCCCCGCGGCGCCGTCACCGGCATCTGCGAGGTGGGCTCACAGGGTCTCATGCTTGTCGCCCAGGGCCAAAAGTGCATGGTCCGCGGTCTCAAGGAGGACGGTACCCTCCTGCCCGTCGCCTTTATGGACATGAACTGCTACGTCACCGCCGTGCGCGAGGTTCGCGGCACGGGCTACTGCCTCATGACGGACGCCTTCAAGGGCGTCTGGTTCGTGGGCTACGCCGAGGAGCCCTATAAGATGATGCTCTTCGGCAAGAGCACCGGCAAATTCGAGGTCTTGACGGCTGACTTTATCGTCGCCGGCGATGAGCTGCACATCGTCGTATGCGACAAGGACGGTGTGATCCACGTGATGCAATTCGACCCTGAGCGTAAGCTACCCCTTTGTCCCTGCTGTTAGTAAAAGTTATCGGGTTGCTAACATCTCCCAGACCCCAAATCACTCCAGGGCCATCTCCTCCTAAACCGTGCCTCCTTCTCGGCGGCACCGAACCACCCAACCACAACGCTCTCCCTCCCGCGAACCCCCGTCTCCCCATCCGCTACCTCCGCGTCCAAGAATCCGCCCACGACCCTCCTCCTCGGCTCCCCAACCGGCGCCCTCGCGTCCCTCACGCCCCTCTCGGAGCAGGCCTACCGCCGCCTGACGTCCCTCGCCAACAGCATCGCCGGCGCCCTCCCGCACGCGGCGGCCACAAACCCCAAGGCCCACCGTCTCCAGCCCCTCGACGCGCGCACCCCCGGCGTCGACACGAGCGCGGGGCGGAGCATCGTCGACGGCGCCCTACTCGCGCGCTGGAACGAGCTCGGCGCCGGCCGCAGGTCCGAGGTTGCCGGCAAGGGCGGCTACGGTGACGTCCTCGAGGTGCGGGGCGAGCTGGAGGGCGTGCTCGGATGGAGCGGCATGGCCTATTTCTAGAGCACCCTGCCGACTCCTTTTTTTGGGGGGGCTGAAAAAATAAAATGAGTGGAAGATGGATGGACACTTGATCATGGAAAAAGAGGAGCTGGTCGTTTTCATTGATTCCGCGGTATATTTTCCCAGATAGCATCGAGCCTGTTGATCTGGTGGAGACTCTCATCTGATGGAGCCGACTTAAGCTAGGTAGATAGAGCAAACCGAGGCGTTGATGAGTGCGGTTCAGTCTGCTGTCTGCCTGCCTTCACCTTCAACATCCACCTATGAAAATAGTCTCAAAATACTTTGGTCACTACTCAAAGTACGTGAAAACATGTATTGGAGCTTCTTGGGTATATTTTTAAGACTATAAAACCACCCCCCGTTTTTCGTCGAGGAAGGCTGGGTTAGTTTATTGCTCTTGGTTCCCTACGAACCAATGCCGAAGACTCATATCAAGTATCATTCCTCTTCCGAGGCCGAACTCCTTGCCACACTTGTTTAAACAATAACGGGCCCCTTGTTTGGCTGCTCAAGACCTCCTACTCGTACACTCGCTAAAAGAAATTACAGACTAGCTATCGAATATGTCGTTGCGCACATCGTGTGGCCCCCGTTGAAGCATGACGTCATCAACGCCCTCGTATTACATGAAGATGTTGCGTAGCGTGATGATATTCAAGCGTCAGCTAGGCCGCGCCTTGGTTCTTCCGTCGGATGCTGCCAAAACGACGCTTCAGGCCTTCGCTCAGACGTTTGCCGGTGCTGTTGTGGCGATGGATATCGGCGCTGTTCGATTGCCCGTTGCGGAATTCGGAAGGCCCGGGTCTGCTGTCGGCGGCATTGCTGACGCTACGCTGGCGCACCTTCGCCCCGTTCTCCTTACGTGACTGAGCGTTGACGCCGGAACGCATCTCATATTCTGCAGGGCTATTACCGATTGACGCCTTGCGCAATCGTTTCTTCTCCTTGAGATCTTTTTCGTACGTGTAGGAAGGCTCCCCCTTTCCCTTGAGATCATCAGGATGGTACGGCTGTCAGAGGTTAGTACGGATCTTGACCTATTGCGAACCATAATCGACTTACAATTCCATCCCATCTCTTATAGGCACCGCCTTGCGCATCAGGCTCGCGCATCAGGTCGGCACCCTCGTCGTAGTTCATAACATTGCCACTCATGTCGGTGCTGCCTGCCGGAATGATGCCGGTTCCTTGCAAAGGCACATGCTTAGACAGAGAATCCTCAATGTATTCGCGAGGCGTCGCTCGTAAAGCCTCCATGTTGGAATCTCTCACGGCTTCAACAGGGGCGTACATCTTGTTGCGGTTGCGGGATGCTAGGGTAGCATCATACGGGCCGCCATGATGATAGACGCCGCCAATGTTGTCGAGCGAGTCAATGGTGTCCGTCATGGGTCCATTCTTGCGCGTCCGCAGGTGAGGCGCGCGGTCTGCAGCGCGCGCCTCACGCTTGATTATGTCAAGAGGTCGATGAGACATGTCGCCGGGGTATCTTTGATTCAAGGAACCAGATCGACGGAGACCACTGGGGCCGGTTTGGGTGTTTACGCTTTTGCTGCGTTGGATAGAGGAGTTGGAAACTGATACGTTCTCCTCGCCGATGGAGCGAGTGCGGGCACTGAAGCTCCGAGTGACACTTGTGCTTGGTGGATAGCGATCTCTGGGAGATGATGGGCTTCGAAGTCCGTTATTGCGGACGCTGCTACTATGTTCCAGAAGCCCGCGTGATAGAGAGGGCGATGCTGGTGAGGCAGACTCTCTGGACGGAGGCAGAGAAGCGTGTTTGTAAGTGGGCGAGAACGGGTTGGATGAATGAAAGCTAGAGCGGGTTGGGCTTGCGGACGCAGGAGGAGTGGGGTATGATGAGGTCCGGCTGTGACTGGTATGACTTTTATTGCTGCTCTTGACTGGCTCCTTGCCCTTCGTTTTCTTCTGGGAGAATGTTCGGAGTAACGGGTTGGGGTTTATGAAGGAGCTCCCAGGACCTGTTTCCTGGCTGGGTTCGGGTGCTGTGAGAGGGTCGAGCAGATATGCTTTGGCCTAGAGTACTTGCGTCAATTGATGGATTCAACGAGACCGTGGTTCGAATCTGACAGAAGGTCGAGTAATATGAGGAGAAAGGGACTCTATGAGCAATGAGAGGACGCGCATGCTTGTGTGGAGGGACCCGTATTATTTACGTCGTCGACGGCTTAGCTGCAGTGCGAATGGTGTGAGGCTGGGCTTGGAACTGTTCTTGGAAATCCAACAGGTTGGATGGGCAGTGACGCAAGAAGGGACTCTGGTGGCTTGAACCGTGCAGTCCAGGGGTCCCGTCTGTACCTTGCCAGCCAACTCACTCGAGCTGACAGGGGTAGCTTGGACAGACTCCGGGTGGCTTTGGACAACAAGGCCGGTCGGGCGCAAGCAGCTGGGGTCGTCGGGTGCCCCTGGTGCCCTGACAGCAGAGAAAGGATGAGCGAGACAGGGTGACCGACTTGGACTCTACCTGCCTGACGACACATGGACAAAGCGGCTGGTTGGACCTCGACTTGCTTCGAGGCCCGGGAGTGACGGAATATGGGAACATTGGAGACGGGCTCGACGGGTCGCGATAAGGCGGCAGATGTGACGGTGACGGGATCGGAAATGTGGAGAAGGAAAGGAACAGAACAACGTGTGAGCGATGACGCAGGGGAAATGAGCAGGGGATAATAATAACAACTAGCGTTCGCTACATCGAACGAGAAGACACAAGATAAGCTAACGTGAAATCGGCCCAAAGACTTACCCACTGTTTGTCGGACCCGTCCATGGCTGTTGACGTCGATGCGATGCGACAAACACGTTGTGTAGTGTACGAATTGGCGGCGCAAGGCGGTTTGTCGGCGGGCAGGGGAGCGATGCTGACGTCTTAGTGGCTGACCAGATTGATTGATCAAGGCAGTGTTCTGATCCTTCCAGGGCCTTGGCTGGTATTGTGATGGTTCGAGGTTTCGCCGGAGTCCTCGGTCAAAGAAGACAACAGCCCGGTGTAAGATAGGTAGACGGAGACGCACGACACACCGACGGTGTGCTAGGTAGTCGAGGACGGCTGGATGATGTGTCGAAACAAGCTAGGGGATGCAAAGCGAAGCAATGCAATGCAGGAGGAAGACGAGAAGATCGAAAAGACGTGGAAACCGCGGAGCAGAAAAGCAGGCGGGAGTGCCCTTTTGATGGCTTTCAGGTCCGTAGTTTCGTCCGTACCTTAGTTCTGTTTGGTGGGATGAGTGAGGTGCTGGCCCCCCAAAGGACCACAGAGGGCAGCAGAGTCATGAGCATGAGGGTGGGCGAAGATGCCGACGACAGGCACAGCCAGTCCAGGCCCTTCCTAGACTCCTCTCCAGACCCCCGTCCTTGTCAGGCCAAGCGCATGCTTTGATGGGTGCAATGCGCAAAGGATAGAGAATTCTGCGCGCAATACGTGGGCGTTCTAGGGACATGCCAGGATAGGAAGTGACCATCATGAGACCTGCGGTGACTGGGCCGGCCTAGCTTTCCATTGGTGACATGCCTGGTGGTCTCAAAATTTTTCCTTCTCTTTATTTTTTGGGGCGCAACCACAAGAACCTCGAATTGGGGAAGAGGGGACCGGAGCCAAGGGAACCACGGAGCGCAGGGGCGTCAAGGAGGGGAGGGCATGGGAGGGAACGAAGGGACCGGACTGGGCGGGGGAAGCGCATGACCAGATGGTGTGGGCAAGAAGACCGGGGTCGACGATGGCAGGTACGGATACAACAGACGGTGCTTACTACCTTATTTGTCGTGCGCTCAATCGTCTAGAAAGAAAGCCGCTTTGATTACACGCTGTACTATACGTACACTAATACGGGACTGCAAGCTGCCCCGTTCGATTCCTGAGCAAGCACGTTGTCTTGCATCTTGCCTGCCTGCCTTATCAGGTTACAAGATGGAGCATTTCACCTGTTCCCGAACATGTTCCCGTCGTCCAACCTCAGCGTCCAGCCCGAGACCAGCACTTCGACAATCTTCTCCCAACCCCTTCCGTGAGCCACTACGTGCAGTATCCTTTTCTCCTCTGTGGCTCCGCTTGGACGGACGCGATCCCTGCAGGGTCCTACTATGTACAACGATATCCGAGCATCCTTGAGGGGCACAAGAAAAAACGAGAAACGAAACATTTGCCCGCTGTATTGATTTAGCTCAGCCACAGACCGCTGACAACGGGACACGCGGGCACTTGGGACCACTCAGTCAGCGTCTAGCCCGTCTTCTGCATAGGCTCTTTGGCTCTACGTCATGTGATTCAAAGCGGAAAGAAAAAAAGAAAAAGGGAAAAGGAACGACCGCTTTAGTCAGGGGATCAGCAGCCGTAACATCCCACCTCTGCATTCCACTTGTGCCGCGACTCACTCGGTTGCTGAACTGATAGCCCACCGAGCAGAAGACCACCCTGGCCAATCATAGGTGCCATCATGGTAGAGTCACACAGTATACGAGCTCTGGCAGTAATTAATGCAGGAGCAATACACCAGCGCCGGCACTTACAACAGACTTCAGTGAGCCCGTAGCCGAGACTCGACTTGTCCACGTATGTACCAGCTCCGCCTTTTCACACACTGCCAGCATGTAAGGGCTCGGGGCTTCTTGCGCCGCATTTACGGGCGCTACGGGAAGGGTCCGGTTCATGTCTTCTCGCCCCTGTTGTCAGGGCCATGCTTGTTCCGACACCTGGCCGGGAACACGTCGCCCAACCGGGTACATACACCGTACGCCCACTCACCGCCGACCAGCGGGAGTCATAGTGTAAGCACAACATTATCATCCCCATCAGTGTTTCTTTACCGGGGATGAGCAAAGATGAGCAATGCACCTCTCATTTGCCCTCTCTTATGCCTAAGCCGGTACGTTTGGTAGCGCAGAGCCAATCAGTCTTCACCAAAACGCCGGAGAAGTCTTTTGTTTTCTCGGACATGTTGTAATAGAGCAGGACGACTCTTCTCTGACTGTGTGAAGGGGGGCGCCAGGTGCCTGTCGCCAGTGGACAGATGCGTTGCGCGCACCGATGCACTTCGATCGAGATCCCGCTGAAAAGCTTCCCCAAAAGCCTCCTTTCCAACACAGGAAGATCACCACCACCCATCCTTGCGGCTGATACGCGCTCCGTCGTCCTTCTCCTCTCGTTTATTGACTAGGCTCTTCAACGTCTCACCCATTGACAGCTGGTAAACCCTTCTAGGCGATCAGGCGTGACAGGGTTTCAATACCAGTTGACTTTGATTGAGCATGTGCATTGATCAACCGCCCAAAGCTTATTGGTCTGATACCTCGTCTTGCAGACGCAGACATTACAGCGGATCTTCCCAGCCCAGGCCGTCACTTTGACCAGCCCCTCCCCCTCCAGCACCCGGCAATGGCTCTGGTGGATTACTCCTCGTCCGACTCGGCTTCAGAAGCCGGCTCACCCCGGCCAAGCGTCGCAAAGAGTCGGATCATGAGGCCCACGGCCCCGCGCTCGACGGCGACGCTACAGGCACCGGCGCCGGCAGAGGTCAAACCAGCAAAACCAATTCCGATCTTCCCAATGCTACGGGTAAAGCCAACGGCGACGCAGACTTGCCTCCTCTTCCGGACCAATTCCATGATCTTTACGCTTCCACTGTTCGAACCAGCACCGCCGATGACCCCAATCTTCACCAAGGTCGGAAGAGGACTATCCCCCATATTGCTGGCAATTGGCCGTCTCACGTCTACATTGAGTGTGAGTTTCCGAGGCCGTTTCCATCTATCATGCATCTCATCTGACTTGCCAAAGGGCATCCAACCGCATACCAGCATTCCCTCCTTGCCGCCTTTCTGGACAAGATCAAGCCGCTTCTCGGCTTGCAGAAGCTGTACCCGCTTCTCACCTCCGACCTCAACGCCCCTCTGCCCCTACACATCTCCCTCTCGCGCCCACTATCCCTAACCACGGCACAGAAGGACGCTTTCTTCTCGTCCCTGAAATCCTCTCTCCCCTCCGCAACGGGGGACTTCACCGTCTCCCCACGAGGCATTGGTTTCTTCAAGTCGCCCGACTCGGACCGGGCCTTCCTCGTCCTCCGCGTTGCGGACCCTGATGCCTCGCGGAACAATACTAGCACAAGTGGCAAGAACCCGCAGCTTCGGGCGCTACTGACAAAGTGCAACGCCATCGCCCTGCGCTTCGGCCACCCGGCCCTGTACCAGGCCCACGCGACTGAACTTGTCGACGACGCGTTCCACATGAGCATTGGTTGGACGTTCGGGCTGCCGCCAGAGGACGCGTGTCTACAGACGTATGCCCTGCTAAGGCAACCCGAGTTCCGCGGCATTCGAGAGTGGAAGATTGAGGTGTCGGGGTCAAGGTCAAGATTGGGAATGTAGTCACGCATGTGCCCTTGAAAACACCGTCAATGGGTGGGAAGAAGAGTATTATTGAGGATGGGTTATACGAGTAAAGACTTCCACCAGCACTGCATGGTTGAATCTACGTGGACGGCTGATCTCTACACAATGTCTCGCAAGGGTTACGGTCACAACCACATAATGACAGAAAGTTCGGCGGGACCAAGGAGTGTTGGGCACTGGTATCGTTGAGTATGTACAACCAATTCAAGATGCTGGTTTACAATGTGCCACGGGAAACGAAGAAACGCCATTTGCCCCTCGCGCCAGCCATGCAAAGTACTCAAAAGCGATGCTATGATGTGATGCCTAAAGCCGTCCGACGACAGTTCGTCCGACTGTAATTTACAACTCGTCCAAGTCAGGTCGCTCGAAGCTCCAGTTCCTTTCATTAACGGGCAGACCGACGAAGAACTGGTAGAACCGGACCAGCTCAATGACGATCACGTTGACACTACCACAGCGTGTTAGTCTGATGCGCTGCAAGGAGAGGCAAGGTTGACAAAAGAAACTTACAAAGTCTTGGGGAATGCAAGCCAACGGCCCATGACGAACTTGAACGCCTTGACGACGCGCCTGACCTCTACCTCAAGCTCATCCATGACCGTTTCCTCACGTCGCGGCTTCTCCTCGTCGTACTCGTCTTCTGGCTCCTCTTGCTTCTTGGTCTCCGCCACGGGCGGCGTCACCACGTGGTGCGGCTTCTTCGCCCGGTCGGGGATGCCTTCGGGGGTGAACTGGGGAAATTCAGGGGCAGCGGCAGACGCAGCGGCGAGGGCGTCCTCCGAGTCGACCATGGCGCGGAACTTGTTGATGGAATCGATGGAGCTGCTGATCCGGGCGTACGTGTTGAAGAGAGCGACAAGCTCGGTGCGCTTCAGCAAGGGAATGTCCTCGCTAGCGTTGTCGAACTCGAAGAGGACCTTGAGCGCAGTGCCGTAGCCGGCGGTCTGCAGCTTGCCCCAGAGGCGGCACTTGTCGCAGCCAACGCAGTCCATGACGCGGCTGACATTGCGGAAGCGGTTGCGGAAGTCCTCCTTGAGCGACGGGCCCTCACCGTTCTTGAACATAAGGCTCTCGTCGAAGATCTGGGGCACGCTGGCCGCAGACTCCGTCACCTCGAGGACCTTGGCCCGCGTTGCGGCGTCCTGGTCGATATCACCCGAACAGAAGGTGTAATCGCGGCCCTGGAGGTAGGGGCCCAGCTTGGCGACGGCGCGGGTGACGAGGGCGTAGTTGAAGTACAGGTTGCTGATGCGCTCCGGGTGGGTGTGCAGACGGCTCCGGTAACAGGCCACGTTGGGCTGCCACTGACCGGTGGTCTGGTTGAGGAAGTCCCAGCAGAGATGTGTGCTGATGCTCGCGTGCATGCCCGAGATGACGCGGTAGAAGACGCGCTTCTCGAGGCACTCGTCCTCGACCTCGAGACCGGACTGGGCCACGAACGGGGCGTTGGGCTGCGTCTCGCGCATCTGCTCGAGTGCCTGCTGTCGCCCGACTGCTTCGAGAACCTGCCTGAAATCCTGCGCTGCGGGACCCTTGTGCGTGGCCTGCGACTGTCCCAGGGACGCCGAGTGCGGGAAGGAGCTCTTCTGGAAGCAGTTCTCCCGGTAGATGGCGTCCCAGACCTGGGCGGCGCCGAAGCCAGCATATCCGGTGAAACGCTCGGGGTTGCGAAGGAGGCTCACGTAGTCGCCCTTGGAGCTCGCGCTTTCATCCTCGGGTACGCAATAATCTCGCTCGTCGCATTCGTCGTCGTATTCCACCACGCAGCTCTCGCCGACCTCCTCGCCCAGCTTTCCCTGCAGGGGCCGCTCGGGACGCTCGTGCTGTACCCTCTTGGGGGGGTGTTTCGCCAGCGGGCCCTCAAGTTTCCCCAGCTCGCTCGCCCTCCAGACCTCGGGGATGTCCTCCTCGTTGTCGAGCGTCTCGACGGCGCAAGCGATGTTACCGCACATGCCATTTTCGTCGTCCCAGAAGGGGCACTTCTTGTGGAAGAGGTTCAGTCGGTAGTGCGAGAAGAAGTCGGTCGATCTCGTGAGGTCGTCGATAAGAGGTTTGACCTTTATGTTCAGTTTGTCGAGTGTCGAGTAGGAGGCGCATGCGTCGGACACAATGGCCTTGGGCGAAATCTGGTATGACGAGTTAGATGGGGAGATCCGGTACTCGGGTACTGCGGCGTAGGTCCCTGAAAGGAGGAAGAGAGAGAGAAAGAAAACGGCGGCATACCGCACAATCATCTTGGGCGCTCTCGCATTGGACTGGAGAGCCCCAGAGCGCAAACACAGAGAGGAAGAATAGTCTGCTGGCAGGCTTCATGATCGAGAAAGGACTCCTTGGCGGAGGGTGGGCCGACCGGTGGGTTTAATATGCAGCAGGATAGCAAGAACAGATGGTCGCAAAGAGAGGGTTGTCAACTCAAACGGAAAGGACAGGTGAAGTTGACAAGTTTCCAAAGGTTCGACTGAAACGCTGCGAGTGTCCGGGCTCTGCAGCGCGGATCCGAGGCTGTCTATGCTGTGGGCGCCCTTAGGGAAGCTGCGTGTAATTGCTGCGTCGAATGTTCAAGCAGGGTCAGGTAAGGTTCGGCGAGGTTCGTTTCGGGGAAACGGTCAGGGACGTTAGAGGTTAATTGAAAGGTAAAATGGGGTTCCAGTCTCCTTGTCTCGGATCTTACACTGGACGTGCAAGTTGACGAGAGAGAAAGTGGCGTCGGTCGACCTGCTACCACTCGTCACAAAAAGCCCAAGGCCTTGTATCTGGAAAATTGGAAGGATAAGGCCAAAAAAGTATGGTGAGGTAAGCAGAGCAGAGGAATGACGGAGCTCGAGAATCAGAGGAAACATGGACAGCATGTTCTGGAAGAGCGGGATCGCCGGGCCTTTTTGGACGTTTCCTCGCTTGAAGGAAGCTGGCAGAGAGTCATGCGAATCTGTCCTCAACATTCAACAGCAGAACCGGCAAACGTGGAAGCAATAATGGAACCCTCCGAGCTGATTAATTTACAGCTGAGGGACTAAACCCCCCGAGTATCGTGTAACTTTATCTGGCGAGGATTGGCTGATCCTGAACTGCGGCCAGCACTTCAATGTACCCTGACACGCCAGGGCACAGCGAGATTGTACCTCCAACTCCGACTTGGCTCCCAGTCGTGCTGTCTCACGGGAGGGGCGAAGGCTAGTAAAGGGACACACAAGGCGAGCGCGTTTTGGTGAAAGGTGTCCTTCTTTTGGTGGAAAATCAGCAGATGCAGGAGCCAATTGGGACCACCCTGGCGCCAAAATAAGTCCTGGCCGTCCCAGATCGCCTCTCGGATGCCGCCGCCGCCCAACCAGCTCGTTCCGGCTTGGTGCATCCTGCCGACTTGCCAATTGCAGACCTCGGGGCCTCTGCCATACGCCTGGCCTATGTCTATTCCCTGTATTCCCTGTCACTTTGCACTACATCGGATGCCAAAACCCAAAAAGGACTAAAATCGTGTCCGTTGATCGGACCGGGACTTTGTTTGCCAGAGTGACGTCTCGCGCTGGCCCCGCCATGCGACTCGTTGCTGCTTAGTCCAGCAGCCACGATGAAGGGGTTCTGACTACTTGTACATGCCATATGGGATTCACGCAAATTTTTATGCATGTCTCATGTTAGTGCCACCATTCGACACTTGAGATTGATGTGATTTCTGCCCAGGCATATTCGCGTGCCTAAGCATCCGTCTTGTTGTGTCTCACATCAAGTTGAGGAACACGCTTCACAGCGCACATCGGTGATGCCAGGGCACTGGTTCTTCAATGGTCACCTTGGGAGCCTCTGTGACTTTTGTAGCACGAAATTAGCTTCATGTATCTATCCCCTGATTCCGAACCTCTGGCCATTATTGTCGTCCGTCGAGCTATGCAGGCACTAGCCAACAGCGACTATCTACACAACCGACACGCTGTCCCTCCTTCCCCCCCCCACAGACGTAGCGTGCGCTCGTCGATGACCTATCCCGGTCTCATCGTTGGCGAGGCTCAGCGGCAGCGGCAGCGGCAGCGTGGCATAGACGATGGCCGTGTGCGCTGGGTTATAAACCTCGTCAGGACCCCTCAACTTTCAAGACATGTAACAGACAAACAGTCCAACACTAACAGATCCCCGATGACTCAAACCGCCCAAATAAATGCAATAACCTTAGTGGTATGCGCCGTCTTTATACCATTTGCCGTGGTCTGCAAAGACGAGGTATTATCCTCTCTCAGCCTCTTCCCCTGAATTTCTAAAGAGAAAATTTCCATCATCATTGGCCGTCATTCGTGTCGTCGAGAGCATCGCCCAGGCAGCAGCCTGCTGAGCGGGGAGCGGGGATGTGTACTGCGTTTGCAGGATAACGAGGCATTTCTCCTCGCTGGGCGGATCACTGGGGAGGCTGGTAGTTGAGAGGGCGCCTATTGTGTTTGCTGTTAGCGACGGACAACCGTGGGTTCGTTGGCAAGAGAGACCGACTTGAATAGCAGGATGTGCGGCTCCGGCTCATGCACTTCGTAGTGTTCCCAGCCCAAGCTCTAGATGCAGTGTCAGCGCCGGCTTCGATGGTCAAAGGGCCACACAGCAGGACCCTACCTGAGTGATGCCGAGTGCTCGCCATTCCTCCTCCCAAAGCAGCTTCAGGGTCCCGTGGGAAGAATCGTGGTAGTCTTTGGGGATGGCTTTAAGCATGGCCTTGGGGAGCTGCACGTGGCGGTACTCGTACTCGCTGTCAGAGTATCTGGACGAGGCAAACTGGTCAGTCGATTGTTTGCTCCATTGGGCTGCATTGACACGGGAGTAGGGGGCAGACATACCGCGCCGAGTAATGAATGGAGTCAATAAACTCATCCAAGCGGGCTCTTTCCGAGTCGGACAAAGGCCGCGGGACCTTGTTGCGACGGCTCATGTCGATATCCATAGCGAAAGCGGCTGTCTGGGGTTGTCTGCCTTGGTGTCTGTGGGATGGACGGTGGCGTCGAGTCTCGGTTCCTTACCGCGAAGGCGACCGGTGGGGTGACTCGGCTAGAGCGGAGAGGTCGAGTGATGGACGAAGCTGACGGGGACTGGCGATATACTCTCGGACGCGGAGGGAGTCTGAGGGCGCGAAGGGGTCCGTTTTCTTTGGGAGGTCAGGCGACCGCACCCAAGTCGAAGGAGGTAAAATAAGAAAAGAAAAGGAAAAAAAAAAGGTAAACAACGAAGCAGGCGGGGTAGGCAGGAATTGGCGCTGAAACAACAAATTCAGCTGCACCGCTGATTCGGAGGAGAAATGGGAAATAGCGAGGGAGCTTCGATGCCAGAAATATGATGACCGAGGGAAGCTGGCGCGCAAGAGCGAGGGGTTGTTATTCAAAGAGTGGGAAAAGATATGGAGTAGTAAACAAAAGTCGGATCTAATTACTGAGATCCCGCCCCAGCGCTGCCATCATCTTCTGCCCCCCAAGAGTCCGAGGCGGTTTTGCCGGCAATTTCCGCCCTTGGTTGCAGTCGACCTGGCCTAGCCTGGCCTGCTACACACTCTCTGCACTTGTGCTGCTGCACTGCAATTTTGAAGCAGCCCCTCAGTGCATCAACCCACCACACAAAAACCACACACCGAGAGCGGTGGGACTTTTCTGCCAAATTTTATTTCCTTCCCCCCTGCCATCCCACCTCAGTCGTCCTTGGACGGTGAGAGACTCGACTCCACACGACGTACTGCCACCTGGTAACAGCTCTGCCGACCGCCATGCAACTGGTATTGAAGTGCAGCTCAGGTGCACAAATCGGTCCGTGACTTTCCCACTTAACCTTTGCCTGCCTGCACCTCTGCACAGCACTGTGAACTGAGGTGGTTGGAATTGCTGCCTCACCAAAAAGGGCGCTTCTGACCTGAGGCACTTCTCTGCCACAGTACGTACCTCGTACCTTCTTCTTTCCTATCCAACCAGCCCGAACTTTCCAAACTCCCACCACTCGCTCCGACTGGCCAGCCAGCACAACAGCCAACCTAACCCATAATCACCCCGAAATCCAGCGCATCTTCCGGCCCATCTCCATTGAGAGAATCCCCCTACTGGTAGCATCCCCAAGAAGACACCACAACCATCGCGCGACAATAAGCCGCGCCCAATTTTTCCCACCTCAATCAGCGTTTGGGCCTTTTGGCAGATTCAAAACTACCCCCATCCCAGCTCAAGAAACGTGGGGAGAGCTGCAATACTCCCAGGGGCCTACCTTAGCTCTTTCCGCGCTAGCCACTTCAGCCCGCAGCCCTGTTGCAAGCAACCTTCCGACCCCATCTCCAAACCGACGCGTCCTTCGCAAACCCGTCGCAACCGCAGCATCGCCATCCACCTCTTACTCGGAGTCGCATACTGCTACCAGCCATTGCACGCGCAATATCCCTCAGCATCCCTTTGTCACTCATTTGATCAATAGCGCATGCGCCTGCGACTATTGTCCCCAACTTTCTAATGGATAACAAACGCAGGTCGTCGGCCATGAATGGCGCGACGGATGCTCAAGAGCCCAATGCGAAGAAGCAGAAGCTCGCTGCGGTAAGCGTTTGTCGTTGCGCCCTCATATTACACTCTGCACTTCTTGCCCTGTCGACGGAAGGCTTCATGCCAATGCGTCCTTGATAGCAGCTGTGCATGCCCTTTGCCGGCTTCTCACAGCCCGAAAAAAAATCATCACATCCCTTCTGTCCTTTTGTTGATTGGGACATGATTTGCATAGCACCCTTCTCCTACCATCCAATCCACTCCTCTAGCGGTCATCCTTGACCTCCATGCCTCCGCAGAAGCTACCCTGCATTGCTGCCCCAGAGCCAGGCTGATTTTAGCACGTCACAGAAGTACAATCTCAAGGAGCAAGAGACAGTCGAGTCTACCACCGAATATGGACATTTCTTCCTCGATCAGATCCGCCGCACTGCCGACAAGAAGTGAGTAAACCCCCACAACCCCTTCTCCCAACGGAAGTCATGCAGGTTGCTAAACTTCAAATCAATCTAGTGGACGCAAGGTCTCTGGTTACTTCGAGACACTGCCTGACAAGGACAGCAACCCCGACTACTACAAGAAGACAAGAATGCCCATCTCCCTGACAATGATCGAGAAGAAGCTCAATAACGGAGACTTCGCCACCCTTACCGAACTCGAAAGCTACTGCAAGCGCATGGTGTCAAATGCTAAGGAGTTCTACCCTCGCGGGAGTCAGCTCTTCGAAGATGCAGAGAGAGTTCGGAAGGCCTTGAGTAACTTCATGACCAAATACAACCCTGCATACGCAAGAGGTGGATATACGGCCGTCCCAACCCCTCTGCCCGCCGACGGCACTACCAACGACGCAGACGAAGATGACAAGCACGCTCCTCAACATGCAAGTGGCCGTCGCAAGTCTCAGGTTGCAGTCAAATCTCCCGAACAACAGGACGACCCTAATGGAGACGAGGAAGCGAATGATGCCGAAGCGGACGAGGAAGATGATGAAGAGGAAGATGAGGATGAAGACGACGATGCCGATGGCGAAGATGATGATGACGAGGGAAGTCAGACCTCCAAGCCCGCGACTATTCTTATTCGTCGTAGAGGTCCGGGTAGGCCGTCCAAGGGTGCGACGCCACGCAAGGCAAAGGCACGAACTGTCACGCCCAGCCGCCCTGATTACGAGTATGAGGGCGTCTCGTACAAAGGTCTCACTTTCCAGGCTGCCCAAGAGAAGATTGTGGAGGAGATGTTACGCAAGAAGGACGATGGGTAAGTGATCATCGTTCCTTTGACATGGGCTTCGCTAACGTGGCATATAGTGGTCAAGAGCCCTACTTCGAGCCTTTCGTCAACCTTCCTCCTCGCGTCCTGAAAGACTACTACAGGATTGTAAAGGAGCCGATCTCTCTGAAGAAGCTTCAGAAGGCTGTCAAGGGTGTCAGGGGTCGCAATGAGGCAACAGGCACCAGCGAATTCAAGAACTGGGTCGCCTTTGAGGAGACTGCGAGCCTGCTCTGGAAGAACGCTTTCTTCTACAATGAGGAAGGAAGCGAGATTTACGAGTTGGCCCAAGAGCTCGAGGTACGTGTCGATATGACAACAGCAGGACACCGGTTCTGAGTGCTGACTGTTGTATAGGAGTTTTGCAAGAATGAGTTGAAGCAGGCCAAGGCGGCTGTTCAAGAGCCTGCACAGCCGAAGATTAAGCTCAAGGTTCAGCAGCCGGCGTCCGAGCAGCCCGCGACATCCAAGAAGATCACAATTCATGTTGGAGGCAAGAGCGACTCGGGAGAGTCTCCTGCGCCACCAATTGCCCTGTCATCCGGGTCCCAGGTCGGCGACCAGACACCGGTTTCCAACGGTGTCTCGCGTCAGGGTGGGCTTCCAGCTATTCCGGCTGCGATGGACAGATTTCGCAGCGTCTCCGTCGCTTCACCAAGCCCCTCGTTGGCCAACAACATCAAGCGGGAAGACGCTGCTCGCCCTTCCCCAGCAGGGACGCCTGGTCACGGTGGCACACCTTCTGCCTTTCCGCCGCCCGGCGCCGGCCAGGCCGCGAACTTGTCCAATGCGACCTTTCAGCCCATTGGTGTTGCGCAACTCCAGCCGCAGACGAACGGTATACAGCAGTCGCCAAGGCCTCTATGGGACCAGACGAGACGAGCCCCAGGCAAAGGTATGTCTTTAGATGAAAATCAAGAACCCGTAATGTTGCTGACATGACCCGCAGGTGCTGCAGATGCACTGATCAGCAGTCTCAAAATTCAGACACACCCGATGGTCAACGTTGAGCGTCGCTTCGAGATAACTCTGTTACCTCTGGAGAAAGAGGCACATCAGTCCGTGACGGTCCACATGCCGCTCAACCACTTGAGAATCCAGATGATTCTGGTTGTTCCATCGTCCCTGGAGAAAGAGGGCCGTCAGTGGAGACTGTTCGTGTTGGTCAACCGTCAGATTGCCCACCAGGCTCATCCTGTTCCCGGCCAGGTGCTACCCCTCGGCGCCAGAGTCTTTGAGGCTCAGCTCCAGGCTGGTGTTGTCAACAACATCGAAGTCTCTGTTGCAGCCGCTCTGCCAAAGGGCCAGAAGCTGCCCAGCGGTGCAGATTTTGAGGTGGAGCAGATGACGGTGCTTGCTCACGTGGCTAAGAACTAGGAGTCTCCCGCCATTACTAACCAAGCTGTCGCATGTCACAACTTCATGAACATCAGTGAGACTGATGAGGGTCAGCCAGACGTTCAAATCATTGACGAAGCACGCTGGAGGAACAATCAGGTCAACGGTGGTAAATCCGCCTTGGCTGTAGGTGACCCTCCAGTGACTTTGCAAGATGTCTGGGACCAAGCTGAACTCAGAAGAGCCCTGCAGTCACGTCCGATACTCCCGTTCAACCAGCCGCCCATGTATCTCGCCGACGAGAGGACCCTTACTGTGTATCCGCCTATTGAACCGCCTCCGGGCCCTCCAGTCTATATCGACCAAGAATCGTTGATCCTCGCTCCTATCCAACCAGCCGCGACGACGAACCATTTCGAGGAACATCGATCTCTATGGGCCGACGCTCATTGGGTTGAATGTCAGGAAATCTCGTCTCAGTCGAAACATCGTCTGCTTTCTCGCCCAGAACATATACAAGCTCCACAGGAGAGCCTCACGCCTCAATCCAACCAACCATTTCAGTTCATGCATTCCAATGGTACCCTGCTTCCATACTACGAACAGATGAGCCGGCATGATACGGCTATACCGTTTGTTCGAGATACTCCTATGACTCCTCAGGCTCGTTTGCGAGTGGAGGTTGCTCAGCAACAGCTCCAACTCACAGAGCAGAGCGAACTAGGAAATTGGGGACTCCAAGAACTTCTGAATCCAAAGGCAGAGAACCGCTATCCTCCACATGGCCTGGCCATTCATGTACGGAGCCAACGGAGCTTGCAATCCGATTTTCCGGCGATGTCGCAGCAACACCGATCGCAACGGTACAGCTTTGAGCTTTTGCAGCCACAGCCAGCTGGCATAAGTGACATGTCGCTTCCAGGCGAGCAGTTGTGTGCCCGCCTCCAGCGTGAGCAAATAGGCAAGCAGGACAATACCCATACCCAGCTCGGTCAACCGATGCAGCCACAAACTTTTCTTCAGCATGAACAACAACTCGATCATTCTTTTCAGCAGCAAGGTGGGGGAGCCGAGGACAACTCCTCCCTTGGAACGTATAGGGCGGCTGAGCCACAGGATTATGGTTACATGGGTGCCATGTTGCTGAACACTGAGCCTATTGCCAACGGTTTTGAGCAGTTCGTCCGAGAAATACCTGTCTTCAAGACCCAGCACGAGGAACTTGAGAATCAGGGGCCGGAGGATGACTATAAATACAGTCGCTAAAAGGGGACTCGGTGCGTTTCACAGTCCGCATAACGCAGTCACTTCTCGCAGACTTTTGGCAACATTAAATTTTTTAGGCAATACATGGGGGAGACGCGGAGTGGTTGTCGGTTAAAGTTGATTTCCGTCCATCTGGGCATTTGCGCTCCGTGCGCCTCATGGCCCTATCTGTATATACTCTCTTGATTCTGGGCATAAAACGGCGATGAGGCCAACAGGGTATAGCCACAGGATCCATATTGTAGAGTCAATCGACAAGTAGGTAAAGATAAACAAGAAGTGAATCGTCGTCAAAGCTCGAACTGTTAAAAGTGAGATTGTGACCGCTTCCTTTTAGCGAGGTAGGTAACCGAGAAGCAAACAGCATAGCACATAACGCTGTCACTCGCATTATCTTGACATTGGCGGATGAAATTGTTACCCCTGAAAAGGATCATGTCATGGATGCCTTATGGCTCATATCCAATACGTTTGTCTCCATGCGTTGATAGACGTTGGATGGCACGCGATAACTTGACCATCATTCGGCAGTCGATGTCCTTCTGGTTTCTTGGGGATTCGAAGAGAAGCGGCTTAGCGTTGGAGTCATACTTGCATGACGTCGTCTGGGGATCCGTTATTGAACTGTGGACCCTTTGGGAATGGAGCAGCGTCTACCCCAGCAACCGGCAACCAAATGTCTCGAACGACGTCGGTACTGCAGCCAGGGCCCGGGGGTTCCGACAAAGTGCTCAGTGGTCTCGCAACGGTGGTTCGAGCATAGTCTACCCCAGGCCGTCTACCCGCCCGCCTTCGCATCACGTAGTTCCGTACACTGATTGTCCGGCAACCGGCGAAGGCGAGGACGGTTCTCTCTCACCGGGTTCATTGGATGCTTGACGGAATTGTTTGGCTGGAGTTTAAATTAAAGCGCGGCGAGTTGCATCACTAGCATCAGCCAGGCCGGCAGGAGCTGGTCTGATGTTTGATGCTTGGGAAATGGCGGGCAACAAAGCAATGGGCTGCCACTCCAAAATGGCCTTCACCCCTATGGTTGCTCCAACTCCGCGGACGCCGTCTGATACACAGGTACGCACACTACCGGTAAGACAATGAGGAGAGAGGACCAGCCGAACCGGACGGCTGGATAAACTCTGTCGAACTCCTACTGTTCCTATCCGCGGGATGAGTCAATATACCAATTCTCGTTAGAGTTAGGCTTCCGGCAACAGCACACGACAGGTATACAACGCTCGCATTGCGTCTCTCTGTTCCGTTGCTGCAGGCCGACCAGCAGCGCTGCGCTAGCCGGCCTTGCAGCTCCGGGACCAGTCAAACCAGCCAACAATGGCTGAAGGGGCCGACATCATGGTGAGAAGGTGAAAGGCGGTGTCTCCAACCCAGGGCCAGCATTGCTGCAGGACCATCAGCAAGCGGCAGCAATGATGGTACAACGCCGGGCACGGGCCAAAACCTGGGCAAGCTGCAGCATGTGGAATTGCCGCATAGAGTCTAGCGTCTTTTGATGTGGGAGATCGATCTTCCGATAACGGGGGACTGATTGGCCGGCGCGACGCATGGAGAAGGGTTCTGCCAATAGGAATTGCCCAATGCAGCCCACTTCAGGTGGCATCTAGCGGGGTACAGACATGACAAGACGTAAGGACCGGCCCTGAAAATTAATCATTGAGAGTCAATGGCACACACGGTGCAAGTGCTGCAGCGTAGTCGGGGATGTGCCTTGAGCGGGGCTAAAGAGTGGGAAAAAATATTTTCTGTGCCCAGCGACTGGCTGAGTTTGGAAGCAGCGAACGCCGTCCTCGGTCATCACTGGCCATCCCGCCCAATCCACACCTTGTTGCGTACCGCCTCGCCTCGCCTCGCCCGGCCTGCTATTTTTTTTTTTTTACTTTCCGTTTTTCCTTACATATCCAGGTCGGCCATCCATCCTCCCAGTCACCTTTTCGATTTTGTGACTCAACAGACCTTCCCGAAATTCTATTATAAATCCTGCCGCTATCCAACGTTTGGAAGCGTTCTCCTCGAAAACCCCATCCAACTACACATCATACTGTGCATGATCATACAAAATGTGCCCTACTCCTGACGTCCCGGCCTCCAATGGCCACTCCAATGGCACCAATGGCCATGCAAACGGCACCAACGGCGCTGCCAACGGCGACAAGGCCGGTGTGTACTCCAATGATCGTGTGCGTTTGTGTTGTCGACATGACTGACTGACTCTCTTGTGTCCAGACCACCCCGGCTACACTGCCATTCCCGTAAGGACCAATTGCCTCCGAACACCGCTTCAACTATGACGACTTGATCTGACACTCGACGGCGTAGACCAAGCAGAAGCACAGCAACCCCTACCAGCCGGTTGGCGATTTCCTCAGCAATGTCGACCGATACAAGATCAGTGTGTTCAGCCGTTCAGCGCTTCTTTTGAGTCACACCCACTGACGTGTGACGCATAGTCGAGTCCACTCTGAGAGAGGGCGAGCAATTCGCCAACGCCTTTTTCGACACTGAGACCAAGATCAAGATCGCCAGGGCCCTTGATGACTTCGGTGTTGACTACATTGAGCTCACCTCGCCTGCTGCCTCTGAGCAGTCCCGCAAGGACTGCGAGGCTATTTGCAAGCTCGGCCTCAAGGCCAAGATCCTTACCCACGTTCGCTGCCACGTAAGAATCTTCCCGACCGTGCCAAAAGGAGCGGAACACTAACAAGGGCAGATGGACGATGCTCGCCTCGCCGTCGAGACCGGTGTCGACGGTGTCGATGTCGTCATTGGCACCTCGTCTTACCTCCGCGAGCACTCCCACGGCAAGGACATGACCTACATCATCAACACCGCCATCGAGGTTATCCAGTTCGTCAAGTCCAAGGGTCTCGAGATCCGCTTCTCGTCCGAGGATTCCTTCCGTTCCGACCTCGTCGACCTGCTCTCTGTCTACAGCGCCGTCGATAAGGTTGGCGTTCACAGAGTTGGTATTGCCGACACCGTCGGCTGCGCCAGCCCCAGACAGGTCTACGACCTTGTCCGCACCCTGAGAGGTGTTGTCAGCTGCGACATTGAGACTCACGTAAGTTGCTCCTACACTCGGGCAGCGAGAAGTCTCCCTAAAGCATGATTTAGTTCCACAACGACACTGGATGCGCCATTGCCAACGCTTACTGCGCTCTCGAGGCTGGTGCCACCCACAGTGAGTTATTTGTCGCGTAGTCTCCTGCGGACCTTGTTGCTGATAGTATATTCACAGTCGACACCTCCGTCATCGGTATCGGTGAACGCAACGGCATCACCCCCCTTGGTGGTCTCATGGCTCGCATGATCGTCGCCGCCCCCGAGTACACCAAGTCCAAGTACAAGCTGCACAAGCTCAAGGAGCTGGAGGACCTTGTTGCCGAGGCCGTCGAGATCAACATTCCTTTCAACAACTACATCACTGGCTTCTGCGCCTTCACCCACAAGGCTGGTATCCACGCCAAGGCCATCCTGAACAACCCCAGCACATATGGTACGTGACATCAATGCTACTCTTCCAGCTAGTGACAGAGCTAACTCACTTTGCAGAGATCATCAACCCTGCCGACTTCGGTATGAGCAGATACGTCCATTTCGCCTCGAGATTGACGGGATGGAACGCCATCAAGAGCCGTGTCGAGCAGCTTGGCCTTACCATGACCGACGCCCAGGTTAAGCTCGTCACTCAGAAGATCAAGGCCCTGGCAGATGTCAGGCCGATCGCCATCGACGACGCTGACTCGATTATCCGTACTTTCCACCTGAACATCACGGAGGGCGAGGAGAAGCCCCTGTTGCCGAACATGACTGCCGAGGAGCAGGCCAAGTTCGAGAAGGCGGAGAGAGAGCTTGCTGGCGAGCCGGAGAAGCGTGCTTTGGATGATGCCGCAGCGGAGCCTGCTGCCAAAAAAGTTAAGGCGTAAAATATTGTTTTTTGGGATGCAAATGGGACGCCAAAAATGGGACATCTGCTTGTACAATCATAGAGGGGAGAGCTACAAAAGTGTTTAGTTCAGATACCTCATCAACGAAGAAACGTTCAAATTTGATTTGGCATTGGTCGTTCAGATATGCTTTCATCGAGCGCATGGTGACTGAGGCCCCGTGATCTGTCGATGTCTCCAGTGCATTGGGTTATCAGGGTAGACATATTCTGCTTGGATTAACCATTGGTGGCCCTGCGGCTCACCCAGAACCTAGTCTTTTGGTAATTCGAAGTACCCATTGAGACACTATGTAAGTCAATTTACGCTTCTTGGTAGCAAACCAATGAGACAGACATATATGCTCTAGTGTGAGTTGCATTTGCGCTTCATTGTTGGTGGGGTTGGGTGGGTGTGCTAAGATAAGATAAGCGCAAAAAATTCCAGTCCACCGACCACTTTTTGCTCAGGGACCTTGTCGCAATCAATCCTCCCTCCGCTGACGGATACCTGACAATAGGAATCCAAACGCTCTTTGGCCATGACAACTCTACACACTCGCTCATGAAGTTCTAGAGTCGATCGATAAACCGTTTTTCTCTCGACTTCGTAACTTCCTACGGAGACACCGGAACAGAAAGTCGATCGAACCGAACCCCCCCTCTACGAAACAATTCCCGAAGATGGACGCACACGCCCTCCTCTCGGCGCAAGGATGGCGCGGCAAAGGTCACTCGCTCCATGCAACGGACGATTCCATCGGTCTCGCGAAGCCGCTCCTGCTGAACCGCAAGGACAACACAAAGGGCCTAGGCACCAAGGCACACTTCACAAGCGACACATGGTGGATGAACGCGTTCGACGAGCAGCTGCAGGGCCTGGACACCTCGAAGAAGGGCCAGGTAACGCAGACGGTGACGCAGGGCCGGCTGAATCAGATCGAAAAGGTCTCGGGCGGCAAGTGGATGCTCTATGCGAGTTTCGTGCGAGGCGGCTTCTTAGAGGGGACGATCCAGGAACACGAGAGAAAGGCAAAGGAGGAGGAGGCGAGCGGCGCTTCTACACCTGAAAGCGAGGAGAGTGCGACGAGTTCAGAGAGCGGGGCTGATACGGAGGTAAGGTCGAAGAAGAGCAAGGACAAGAAGGAGAGGGGGGAGACGAAGGAGGAGAGGAGGGCGAGGAGGGCTGCGAAGAAGGCGAGGAAAGCGGCGAGGGAGGCGAGGAGGCAGGCCAGAGCTGCAAAGAAGGGGCCGAAGGCTTCTTCGAAGGATCGCAAAGAGTCTAAGGAGGAGAAGAGGGCGAGAAGAGAGGCGAAGAAGGCCAAGAGGGAAGCGAGGAAAGCAAAGAAGGGGGAGTCTGGATGAGAGGCAGCCTCTTGCTCATTCGACATGACGGTCGGTTACAGATACCCCCCGAGCCTAGATTGGCCCACCATTCGCGCTAGCATTTCGCAATAAGGAGAAGCAGGCCATGCTTCCAGACCCTCGAGGGTCTTGACATCACGCGGGAGGACGACAGAGTATCTTCGGCAATGGGCTGCTTCACGGCGCAAGGACTTGAAAGGCAATGATAGAGGAGAGTGTAGTATCAGCGGCTCTTGCGAGCTCGCGATTCAGAGCTGAGGTATAGATAATGCTCAGACCATGGCGTCGGCTTCAGGCCAGCCAGCCGCAACAACAGAATCCTTCCTGCCATATGGTGGTCTCAACCTCAATGCTTTCCCCACACATCGACTTGAGTGAGCTCTCTTTCCACCTACCTAACTGGCCTCTTATGCGACTTTACGTCCCCTACAGACCCTGCGCAGACTAAGGCACGAGTCCGCAGTGATTCGGACAGATAGGGCCCTCCATCCATCTAGCAGTCATGAAGTACACAAGGGTGGCGTCTTGGTTCAGGTTTCCTTGGGCGTCTTGCCTGGCTTGTTGGAGAGGAGCCACGGCCGCCGGTCCCAGAAGTCGTCCTTGATGATGTCGAGGTGCTCAATGACAACCCTCGCCCTGCTCCTCTTCTTCTTGTCCTTCTCCGCTTGCGCCTTGCTCTGTTGCTCCGGCTCGGCTAAAGCGTCGACGATCTCGGCGGCGTTGTGTGTCCCCGGCTCAACGAGTTCATACTGCTTGGCGGTCAGGGGGGGGTATTCACTCCTACATTCACTGCGGTGTACGGAGAAAAAGGATGGAGGGAGATGAGAAAGGGGAGAGGCAAGAAATGATAGGAGGAATTGGGGGCTTACATCACGGAATACAACGCTGCCTTTCTTGTATATCTCCGGCTCGTTGTTGTAGTTGATCTTGAACTTTGAGAAGAGGATCTCGTTCTTGTCTCCCGAGACAGTGCCCTGCGCAAGCGTTAGGGGCCCGGACTGGGTTCTCAGAGCAAAGGGGCCTCACTGCCAAAAGCTTCTCTGCTTCTCTGTTATCAAGACCACCAAGCTGGATGAGAGCCCAGAAGGTTGTGTTATAGAGGTTGTTAATGTGGCCTTGGCTTGTCAGTTAATGGCCACGCATCAATCAACGCGAATATGTAGGTCAGGGTCTAAGGGGAGGGGCTTACAATCGACTTGCCGCCAGCTCATGTAGTCCCTCAGGTTCATGACCGTGGGATAGCATACCGCCCGGCCGTCAAAGCTCGGGAGAGGCGGCGAAAGTGGGGTGTCGGTGAAGTATGTCGACCACAGGTGGATGTAGTTGGCCGTAAATGTTGACACTACTGTGCTCACGATTTTACTGAGCCATGTTAGTCATGAGAGAGCTGGACCATTGTACGATGTCGAAGGAAGCCTTACCTCGCCCTTCTCTCGAACAGCGTACACGACTTGTGGAACACGAAGCTGAACTCATCGCTCACGCCATAAGCGATGGTGATGTCTGGGAGCTCCGTGACGACCACTCTTGCAGCGGCGTTCATAAGGTCGAGCGCCCTCTTATCGTTTGGCTTCTCGAATGCATATTTGGCGCAGAGTCTGTAAAGCTGTCAGTCAGGTGCGCGTCGGTATCAGACTTCGAGGCTCCCTTACTTGGTGAAACCTCTCCCATCTATGCGGACGACGATCCAAGTGTTTGGCAGCAGGAAGTCGGGTTGCTCAAAGTTCTTGACGTATTCGAATCTAGCTCCGAGTTAGAAAGTGACACTTGCTCCTGAGGGAAGACGATGGTCGTACTTGGAGTTTGCCATGGCGAAAGACTGCGGGACCGGTCTCTTTTCCGGTGTAAAGTAGGGAGGTAGGTAGTGGGAGGTGATTCTCAGTCGGAATTCCTGTGTTAGGCGGGATGGTGGGGAGGGGTAGTTTGCTACCCAGTGCCAGTGCCTTCGATAACATTAAGGGCAGGTGTTGAACCGGCACAAGGATCAAGCATAATACTGCAGTCACGGGGACGCCATCTTCTTCTGCTCCCTGCTTGTTGACTGTATGATGCGAGATCATTTTGTTTTCAAATTGCTACTGGTTGGATTTGAGGAGTAAAGCTTCCTAGCTTTTGGGACTTCGAACCTGGGTTGAGTCAACTTGACTACCTTCGGTGGAAGAAAAGATGTGTGTTTACCCTGACTTTACACTGTGCCTTATGTCAAACTAACTGCCTCCAAACCTTCCAGAAGGAAATCCACGAGGCGCTGTCAGCTGCCTCAGTGGACCCGGTCGCTAAAAGTTGCGACCTGAGCACCTAGAGCTGCGGGCCTAACCCCTGTAGCACTTCAGCCTTGCAGGCGCAAGAAAGCCTGTCCCGCGCGCACGGCTGACATTTCGCGAACCTTGAGAGCTCTTGAAGGCTTGCGTTCTGCGCAAATAAAGCCAACCCGTCCACTCGATCTCAGGGTCAGGTTTCCTCTCCTTCAGACCCGACTCGCCGGACCAGGAAGCAACAGCGACTATGAACTTCCTTCTGAGTAACGAAGAGAACGAGGCCATCGCCGCCGTCGAAGCCATCAATGCTATCAACAATACAAACACAATCCGATCCGGCCACTCAACATGTTTGCGCTTCAACCGATCCGGCGACCTCTTGGCCTCTGGCAGAGTCGACGGCACAGTGGTCATCTGGGACATTGAGACCATGGGCGTGGCGAGGAAGATGCGAGGTCACCACAGAAGCATCACGTCTCTGAGCTGGTCGAGATGTGGCCGCTACCTATTGTCGGCGTGTCAAGGATGGAAGGCCGTTTTGTGGGATCTAAAGGATGGCAGGCGGTACCGTGAGGTCCGCTTTCGAGCCCCGGCGTACATCGCGGAGCTCAACCCTTTTAATCAGTGAGCCGCCGAGCCCCCTTGCCTCAAGTGACGAGGCCTCGCTAACGCGCCAAGTCACCAGTTCGTCGCCTCCATCTTCGAGGAGCAGCCGATTCTCGTCGACGTGTCAGACGTCACCGATGTCAAGTACCCCCTCAGCTCGGCGCCGAAACGACCCGACATAGACGGAGAACCCACCGAGAAGCAGTTGAAGGACGATGCGAAACAAATGACAACCGTCACGATTTATACCTCTACCGGAGAACATATATTGGCGGGGACAAACAAGGGATGGGTAAACGTTATCGACGTCAAGACCAGAAAGACGATATACTCAGAGAAGCCCTGCAGCGGCGTCATTACGACATTGCGTCTGAACAACTCGGGAAGAGTGCTCCTGATCAATGCGCAGGATCGTATCGTTCGAACCTTTCACATCCCGAACCTCGCGGCCGAGTATCTCGATCTCGATACGATACACTTTACGGAGGAGCACAAGTTTTCAGATCAAGTCAATAGGTTGTCGTGGAATCATGTCACGTTCAGCTCGGCCTCTGAGTACGTTGCGGCGTCAACGTACAACAACCACGAGATATATGTCTGGGACAGAGGTATCGGCAGCACTGGACTGATCAGAATCCTGGACGGCCCCAAAGAAGAGCAGGGAGTAGTAGAATGGCATCCAGAACGGCCGTTCATTGCAACATGCGGCCTGGAGACTGGCAGAATATACATATGGTCGGTCATACCCGAACAGAAGTGGTCCAGGCTTGCGCCCGACTTTGCGCAGGTTGAGGAGAACCAGGAGTATGAGGAGATGGAGGACGAGTTCGATATCTATGGCCAGGAGGAGCTGCAGAAGAGACGGTTGGATGCGGAGGACGAGGATGTTGATGTTGTTACCTCGACCATCGTCAATGGGCACTCTGGTGGAGCAGGAGACTTCCGCATGCCAATCCTCTTTGATCTCGGTGAGAGCGATAGTGAGGAGGAGTTCGTTGCTGTATCCACCGGAACCATGCGGCGAAGGAGTCCAGGCGCGGATGGAGAGATACCAGACAGCGAAGTTGTGGAAGACAAAATCCCGTCGAGAAAGGGACGGTCGGGCAGAGGCAGAAGACGATAAACCAAAATAACAATACCCTCGTCATTGCGCAACGTGCTCGCAGTTGCGCTTCGTTTGAAAAAAAGTGACAAGACGCGTGACATGGCGTTGGATCGCGTAGCTATGGGACGAGCTTCGTTGGTGTGCGGACCCCTGCTAAGGGATTAGCGTGACGGGGCTTGCAGTGATGTGATGTAAAGGACTTCAGAGCTTCCAAGGCTGCTTAATAATTCCGGGTGATTTTCGTCAGACAGGCCAAAGGCCTGTGTAGTGAGTGTAGGACGGCATTGTGTACCCCGGTCAGTGTAGTCGAGGTAACTGGCCTCTTAGCTTAATTGTACAGTAGTGTTTTCCTGCTGTAAACGTGCCGGAGAAATTTTTTATTCTAATTAATGAGCTGAGATGCGGCCTGGACATTTCCTCCATACCTCGACACGGGAAGGAGTTCAGTGGGCAGCGGCGCGCCTATCAAGCCTTTCTCCTTGCCCCTACCAGGATACGGCAAAGTAAAGGTACCTGGGCTCAGCACTGATTTCTGGTGTGTTTCATGGAATAGTGGGTACCTCGACCTCGGGCACGCGTGGCCGGCCTGAGGAAGGTAAAGGAGTGCGATTGCCCAATTTGGCTAGCGTGTTTTCTCAGGCTGCGCCAGCCGCCTCCAGGCAAGATTTGTTTCTGACCTCGCTCCTCACTTTCGCCTCCACGGTCTTCACATCTACAACTTCGTCAACCCACGCATCGCCCATCACCACGCGCGTCGGAAATCGCGCCCCTGGACCGCACACTCATTTCCGGCTCGATACACGACTCGATACGACCGCGAATTTTTATCCCTTTCGATTTATCGACGCTCTGAAGGTGGCGGCGATTGGGAGGATCAGTGGAACCTTCTCCTGGGCCGCTGGCCGGGGACTGGCGTGGTAAAGAGCGCCATCGTAGGACGACCTTTGCCGACTTTTTGCATCTCGAAAAGCGTTTCGCGCGATAGATTTTCACTCTCCGATTTTACTGCGCCTTGTTTGCGACGCCTCCGCATCGCATAACGACTATCGGTAGCTTTGCCCTTTTTGTTTTTTTACCGACCTACCTTGTGATTACCCGTCGACACTTTCCTTACCAGACGACCCGAAAACACCGTCAATATGGCGAACCTTTACTTCACGCACTCGAGTGCGCCGATCAAGACGGTCGAGGAGATTCAGTTCGGCCTCATGGCTCCCGAGGAGATCAAGAACATGAGTGTCTGCCACTGTGTCTACCCCGAGACCATGGACGAGACGCGGACGAAGCCTCGTGATGGCGGTCTGAACGACCCTCTTCTCGGTTCCATCGATCGGCAATTCAAGTGCAAGACTTGCTCCCAGGCGATGGGCGAATGCCCGGGTCACTTTGGCCACATCGAGCTGGCTAAGCCCGTCTACCATCCTGGCTTCATCAAGAAAGTCAAGAAGGTTCTGGAGATCGTCTGCCATAATTGCAGCAAGGTCTTGGCCGATAGAGTTAGTCTACTCTATGATGTTTGACAGCCACCTTGACTTGATTGTGCTAACCTGGCTTTTCAGAGCGACCCTGAATTTCTCCAAGCAGTGAACACGAGAGACCCCAAGGTTCGCTTCAACCGCGTTTGGAACATTTGCAAGAAGAAGACCCGTTGCGAAAACGAGGTCAAGGAACAGAAGCCCGACGATGGAGAGTATGGCCTGAATATGAAACAGGCTCCTGTCAACCACGGCGGCTGTGGCAACATCCAGCCTAGGGTACGGCATAAAGCCTTGCAGCTGATTGCAAAGTACGAGGCCCAAGGCGAAGATGGTGTCAAGAAGAAGGAGGAGCCTCCCATTACCCCGGAGATGGCCCACAACATCCTGCGCCGCATCAGCGACGACGATTTGAGAGACATGGGCCTCAACCTTGAGTACGCCCGCCCGGAGTGGATGATCGTCACCGTTCTTCCTGTCCCGCCTCCGCCCGTGCGACCCAGTATTTCCATGGACGGTACCGGTCAAGGACTGAGAAACGAAGATGATTTGACCTACAAACTCGGCGATATCATTCGAGCCAACAGCAACGTCAAGCAAGCCATTCGCGAAGGTTCGCCTGCTCACATCGCGCAAGATTTCGAGCAGCTGCTGCAGTACCACGTCGCCACGTACATGGACAACGACATTGCCGGACAGCCTCGTGCCCTGCAGAAGAGTGGTCGCCCTGTCAAGGCTATTCGCGCACGCCTCAAGGGAAAGGAGGGTCGTCTCCGTGGTAACTTGATGGGAAAGCGTGTCGACTTTTCGGCACGTACTGTCATCACTGGTGATGCCAACCTTTCCCTCGACGAAGTCGGTGTGCCCCGAAGCATCGCTAGAACCCTGACCTATCCCGAGACAGTCACTCCGTACAACATTGGAAGACTCCACGAGCTTGTACAGAACGGCCCCAACGAACATCCAGGCGCCAAGTACGTCATCCGCACCGACGGTACGAGAATTGACCTTCGTCACCACCGCCGCGCCGGACAGATCTCGCTCGAGTATGGCTGGAAGGTTGAGCGTCACTTGATCACTGGTGACTACATTATCTTCAACCGTCAACCGTCCCTTCACAAGGAGTCTATGATGGGTCACAGAGTCCGCGTCATGCCTTACTCAACTTTCCGTCTCAACCTGTCCGTCACCTCGCCATACAACGCCGATTTCGACGGCGACGAGATGAATCTTCACGTCCCTCAAAGTGAAGAGACAAGAGCCGAGGTCAAGGAGCTCTGCCTGGTTCCCATCAACATTGTTTCTCCACAAAGAAACGGTCCTCTGATGGGTATCGTGCAAGATACTCTTGCCGGCGCCTACAAGCTTTGCCGTCGTGATGTGTTCCTCAGCAAGGAGCAGGTCATGAACATCATGCTCTGGGTTCCCAACTGGGACGGTATTATTCCCCCGCCAGCCATTGTTCGCCCTAGACCAAGGTGGACGGGTAAGCAGATCATGAGCTTGGCAGTTCCCAACATTGTCAGCTTGCACAGCGCTCCGGATTCGAAGGAGGACAACCCCCTTAGGGACGAGGGACTTCTCATTCAGTCTGGACAGATCATGTACGGTCTGCTTTCCAAGAAGAATATCGGTGCCGCCAGTGGTGGTATTGTTCACATCGTCTACAACGAGCACGGACCTGAGGCGGCTATGAAGTTCCTTAACGGGGTTCAGCAAGTCGTCAACTACTGGCTTCTGCACAACGGTTTCAGTATCGGTATCGGTGACACGATTCCTGACAAGGTCACCATCGAGAAGGTCCAGGTCCACATTGACGAGCACAAGGCCGAGGTCGAGGAGTTCACAAGACAAGCTACTGCTAACGAGCTGGAGCCTCTGCCAGGTATGAACATTCGTGAGACCTTTGAGAGCAAGGTTTCCAAGGCTCTCAACACAGCCCGTGACAAGGCTGGTACTACTACCCAGAAGAGTCTGAAGGATTTGAACAACGCTGTTACCATGGCCTCGTCCGGTTCCAAGGGTTCATCCATCAACATTTCCCAGATGACTGCTCTCGTCGGACAGCAGATCGTCGAGGGCAAGCGTATTCCCTTTGGCTTCAAGTATCGCACTCTCCCGCACTTCACCAAGGACGACTACTCGCCCGAGGCTCGCGGTTTCGTCGAGAACTCCTACCTCCGTGGTCTTACACCTAGCGAATTCTTCTTCCACGCCATGGCTGGTAGAGAGGGTTTGATCGATACTGCTGTCAAGACTGCCGAAACCGGTTACATCCAGCGTCGTCTCGTCAAGGCGCTTGAGGACGTCAGCGCCAAGTACGACGGTACCGTCAGAAACTCTCTCGGTGATATCCTGCAGTTCCTGTACGGTGAGGACGGTCTGGACGCCATCTACATCGAAAAGCAACGCATGGATCACCTCAACATGTCCGACAAGAAGTTCGCCGACCGTTTCAGGCTCGATGTCATGGACGAGAACAAACCCGAAGAGCTTGAGTGGCTCGAGTATGGCAACGAAATCGCGGGCGACCCGTCGGTTCAGCAGCTCTTGGATGAAGAATTCGATGCTCTGCTCGCCGACCGCAAGCAAGTTCGCCAGATTAACTTCAAGAGGAAGGATGATGAGTCAATGCAGCTTCCGCTGAACATTGTTCGTCTCATGGAAACCTCCAAGAAGCTCTTTGCCGTCGAAGATTTCCAGAGAAGTGACTTGCGGCCTCAGGACGTTATCCCGGCTGTTCAGGCCATGCTCAACAGAATGACCATCGTCCGTGGCAACGACGACATCTCCAAGGAGGCCGACCGCAGTGCTACCATCCTCTTCAAGGCACAGATCCGCTCACGACTTGCTTTCAAGCGCATTGCCTGCCAGCAGCGCCTCAACAAGATGGCCTTCGAGCACGTCCTGGGAGAGTTGGAGGCCCGTTGGGACCGAGCCTTTGTCAGTCCTGGTGAGATGGTCGGTGTCATCGCAGCTCAGTCCATTGGTGAGCCCGCTACGCAGATGACGCTGAACACCTTCCATTTCGCTGGTGTTTCTTCCAAGAACGTCACGCTTGGTGTTCCTCGTCTTAAGGAAATTCTCAACCTGGCCCAGAACATCAAGACTCCTTCCATGGTTGTTTACTTGAGTGGTGAGGACAACGCTAGTCAGGAAGCCGCTAAGGCTCTCCGCAGCACAGTCGAACACACAACGTTGCGCTCAGTCACCGCAGTCACGGAAATTTACTATGATCCCGAGATTACCTCAACAAACATCCCTGACGATCTGGACATGGTCGAGTCTTACTACCTCATTCCCGACGAGTCCCATGACAAGACGGAAGACCAGTCTAGATGGTTGCTGCGTCTCACTTTGGATCGCCAGAAGCTTCTCGACAAGGAGCTCACAGTTGAGGATGTTGCTAGGCGCATCAAGGAAGAGTATCCCAACGATCTGGCTGTCATTTTCAGTGATAACAACGCTGAGGAGCAAATCATTCGTATCCGCCCCATGCACGCCGGTAACGACGACAAGGACGACGATGGCGAGAAGAAGATC